TCGTCAATTGCGATTATAACTTTGAAAACGTTTAAAACCTTTCTTTCTTAAAGGTTTATTGCCATAAAGCGGTGACAGAGGAACTTAAAAGAATTATCGATGACAGTGAGGTAACTTGAAATGATATTTTAAAAGTGCTTTAAACATTTCAACATGAAATCGAAATACTGTAATGTTAGGCATCAAAATATAGCTTGGTGGAAACTAATGGTATACTAGATGAAACAACTTACTAACATTTCAGAYGTTAATCCTTTGTTGGAGTAAAAGAGCAAGGATTAACGTCTGAAACGTCAGTAAGTTGTTTCACCTACTTTTTACGGTGTGATGTTAATAGGTTTTGAAAGAAGATGATGCAATGTGGCCACAACCAGATAGAGTTGGACGACAAGAATTAGAAATAGTGTATGGAGACCAACATATATGCTTCACAACATCCAAGATTGGTTCTCTTGTAGATATCAACCAATGCAAGTAAGTAGTAACGGTAACTAACAAAGCATGGAATTAACAATGGTGAACTTAATCCTGTTTATACTTCAATTGCAGGGATCCTGAAGGTTTACGTTGCTTTTATTACCTTGTGCAAGATCTAAAATGTATGGTGTTCTCTCTTATTGGACTCCACTTCAAGATTAAACCCATTTAAATCATTTAAACTAACCACTGGCAACTGGCTGTTTTTGTTTTTGTATAAAAATCTTCCTGTTGGTAGTATTAAAAACTTTCCTTTCACAAGATAATCCTCCTTTTCATCTCGATGTTTGTAACTCAATAGGAAGATTTATTCTTTGTTTATCACTGTATAGCCAAGATGTTAAACAGACATTACGACTTTGAGCTTCACTGAGAACTTTTTAGACTTCTCCCACAAAAATGAAGTGACTTTACATCTATATTTGTAGTTCATTTGTGTTTAATCTCAAAAGCTGTTCAGTGAGTTTTGTTTGATGGTAGCAATGAAGCATCAATTGGAATTTAGTATTAAACCATGTATACTCAAGCAAAGCTACCCTCAACACATTGTGTACAGTGTATTTTAAAATAAAAATGTGAAAACATCAATTTGTTATTAGTTTATTTGTAAGTAGACTTCTTTGTACACTGTCCAGCATTGTACATTTTGTCAGTTATACCTGGCAATCTATTGACTGATTTACAAACCTTCACATCATCAGAGTGCAATTATTGTCTTGTACATGAAATATGTAGTTTTCTTTCAGTTATACTAATTTTACAAGAATCCAACCACAGTCTCCTTTGCATCCGTTTCCGGTGTCAATGTAATGATTACGCTTCGCATTTTGACACTGGAAATGGATATGAAGGAGACTACCAACCACACCGCATTTTCCTTTTAGTTTTTGTAGAACAACAGCAGGATATTCTATGAAAATGCAGTACAGATACTTTGTAAAACAAAAGTTCAATCACCCTTGTTATAAGTTCTCAAAAATGTATTCAATCATTGAATAGATTCCTCTGACTGCTGTTATTTAGCTTGTTCCTTTGTCTCTCCACTAATAGACATTTGAACTAGCCAAATAACAGCTGCGAGAGGCAAATGTTCAGAATAGATTTCAAAGAAAATTTTATAAGCTCCCTAAACCCCTAAATTTCCATCATTGTTCTGAAAAGATTTGCAAGTAGTTTCATTATAGCTCCTTAACCCCTTTGTAGCTTGGACCATTCCTGCAGTTTTTGWTCTTTCAGTCTGAAGGAAATGTCACSATGGAAGATAAACACTATGGCAAAAAATACCACAAAGATAAGTTCCCCTTAAAATGTCAATTTTACATCATGTGTATGCAGATATRGTACATGTATATTGTACAGAACCACATTACTCTTGTAACATACTAAGCATAGGCTGATCCAGCTGGTGGGTGCAGGGGGTGCGCACCCTCTCCTGAGATCTATTTCTTTCAATACATTCCTTAATTTGTATCTTCATGGTAATGATTTTTGTGGGGTGAACCCCCTCTTGAGAGACCCGCACCCCTACGTGAGGAAAATCCTGGATCCGCTCCTGCTAAGTAAACATTTAAAAAATCTTGTAATAAAATTAATTTTCGGTGATTTGTGGTCTGACATTTACCACTTCCATTTTTAAATTATTGGGATTTCCAAGTCAACCAAAATTATCTTTAAAKTATTATTTATAGTTTTTAATTCTGATACAGGTTCTGGTTGATRTTGTGCATCGATTTTCAAAAGAACACATCTTTGCAAAACTATACTTGGTGTACTTTGATAGTTTCCATGACAACTATCATGCAGGTCTCCCAACAACCCTTCCAGATAAACCAACCCTATAAAAACCTGTCTAGTTTTCTTTAGGAAATTTTCTGATATAATGCCAAAAACTGAGGTTAAAGGTTAAAAAGGTCAGGTTAAAGCATAATTGCAGATTAGTAATAGTGCAATATTTAYACAAGAGTGGGGTTGACAGGCCTGCTCATGATGTCATGGTTGCAACATAAAACTGTTGAATTTGAGCCYGGATCATGTTTATAGTTTATCTTTATGCACATTAGCTAACAATCAGGTTCCTTTACAGTAGATGGCAAACAAATCCAGTTATTTCTTAGTTAATGACCAGTAATACTTGATGAAATCAGTTGTAGTTTTCTAGTTGTTTATACAGCTGATTAGAACCCTGACAATAACATTTCTGCCTAAGACTTAGATGTATATTGTCTTCACATGTTACTCTCCGTAGGAATGTCTTCATCATCTGGTAACTGGAAACTGACTTGTCTCTTTATCACAGAATGTCTGTTCTGCATTTAAAACAAACAATATTAATGTTTAAGAAGTGTTATTTGATTTATATATTTTTTTTCAAAAAAATGCATTTAATAATACAGAATTATGATTTTCAAACATTTAAAATGGTGGGTAGGAATAAAAAGTTTGAAACCTTCAAAAGATTATTTGCCACCCCCCTACATCAGTGARAAGTGGAATAAATGGATAGTGATTAAAAAAAATGTGAGGAAACAAATGAATTATTGATCAATTATTAGTGATTCTGAGAGTATTAAAAGCACATTGTTGTAATTAACACACAAAATATTAAACAATGTCAGTTAGGTGTTAATGCATCAAAAGCAAGTACAGTTGGAGAACAGAATGAAAGATGATTGAGGTAACCATTGAAAAAGATCAAGAAATTTGCTTGAAAATAAAAGAGTTTCCCAGGCAGAAACAAGTAAAAGTAGACTTAAAATGAACAACTGTTATAAGATTAATTTCATTTTAAAATAGTTTAGTGGTTAACACCCTCATTTTATGAAGTATTTTAGACAATGATTATTATTTAAGGCAACAATGTTTATGTTATTTAGAGGCTACTAAAGTCTTGATTTCATCAGTCATTGGTTGTGTCAGAATTCACTAAAAACCCACAAAACTAATTAACCCCATTAGACATGCTTTGGTCAGCCTGTGTTGTTGGCTTGGTGTTTTCACATAGTTGTATGGGCCATATGAAAATAATTATTTATAATATTATTATTAATTTTTCACATGACAAATACTGAACAATAATAATCATGGAAAGAATGTTTATCATAGATTTAAGATATAGACTATCAATGAATATCCATCAATCAATAATTCAAACATTTCAGTCAATTTATGATTACACCAAGATTGAGATTTACAAAGTTATAAACATGCTGACAGAGGTAGTAAATAAGCTAAATTTTATCAATATTACTGTTTAATAAGTAATTTTATATCCAAGCTCAAAGTATAAATGAAGTTCATACGTATAAAGACGTCAAAGTCCAACAACCTTCATGCCAAGGTGTTAAGAATACAAAACTGAAAYAAACAAAACATRGTGAGCAGAAATAAAACAAAATAAGCTTCCTCTCTCCTGAAAAATGCAGAAGATTCCTTCTTTATTTCAATTCCAATAGTATAAACTAAAACATAATTCCTATCCACTTTGCTAGGTATATAGTATTTACATCAGGTAGAGCAAACCCAGACAGAAAACATTTTGATATTGTAATAATAATTATATATCTTATAGATTAAATAAAAGTCCTTTGAATTCATATTGTGAATAAGAGTTAATTTGCTTTTGATCAATAGTGAAAGCATAACACATATTTCACAGGGCATCAAAATTATTACATCAAGAACCTTTGAAGAAACAGAATGAAGAGTTAATCAAAAATGGCCGTGTAAGCTGTTATCATAGTATTTCTAAAAACAGATGTACTAAAAAGGTATGCTTACACTGTAAAAAATGAGTTGTTTTCTTAATTCTTTACAGCATAAACGTTACCTTTCATGCTATTGTGTTTTGAAAACCTCCTGACAAAAGTAATATTCTTGTGGAGTCCCATTTGCTTAGCAAAGATCATGGATATTGAACTTTTACTAAAAAAAGTCAAATATTCACTCCAGATTCATTATCAAGAGCCAAAAGAAAAAACCTGCTTTTCCTGTTTGGACCAGTTATTTATAGTTATTCGCAAAAGACCCTGTGTCATTTACTGATAGTTTCCCATTATAATAATCTAATAATCTCTTCTGGGATGGGTTTATTTGCAAATATAAAACATTTTTCATTCAAACATAAGTTTCAAAATTATATCCCACAAAAGATGAAGAAAATATTGAGAAGTCTATCATGCTACAACAACTTATCAATATTAAGTATATTCTGCTCAAGTAAATTAGTCAAGCATCTAATATGTGATTTAATTATCATAAAAAGGCTAGTTTTCCTATGAGAACACAAATATTAGACTGAATTTCTTTAACACTTAAAAAAACATTTGCATTAAGAAAGGTAMATGGTACATTAAAATGGAGTATGAKAGCACAAAGATAGTGACATCMATTTATAAACGATATTATACTGTGATAGTCCCCAAGTTATTTGTACAAATAGCTGTGTTCTCATATGAAACTCTAGCTGTTGGGAAACATTTCCAAGCAATTCTAGTGAGGTTCATTGGGTTTGGAAATGACATTATATTGTTTCWMTATATTTTGATCATCACCAAGTGACCACGGTCTGTCCCACACTGTTCGGGAAGGTGTGTTGTGATTTGATTTAATGTCAGACTCAGTTTGAGTTGTATTTAAAACTGACGTACTGTTTTCTGGAACTGTTGTATTTTCCTTTTCATTGGTTACTTCCTGTCGGGTGCTTTGGGCATCGTGCGTGCTAGTTGTTGTAGTACTTACAGACTCAGGAGCTGGTGATGGTGATATCCCAGAGTCGGGMGACCCTTTATGTGCAGTACTATTGTCTCTGTAATCACTGGCCGTACTGTCTTCTGGAGAGACATCTTTAGAGTTTTCTGAGGGGTAGAATTGTATTAAAACAGGATTTCAGGTATTGACAGATGGTTTACAAGTCAATATGTCTTTAGTGAAAGGCACATGYGTTTTTTATCTCTTTTTGCCATAATACATGTCCCATAATACACCTGTCAATATGCGTAGACTTGCACAAACAACTTTGATTAGTGATATCTAGACCTCAAGGTGGATGAGAATGAATATCACACAGTGGATATTACAGGGTTCATCTTACCAAGATGTCTGTTTTGTGTATCAGTTCTTGATGRCTCATCATGATAAGACTGTGATAAAGACCTTAAAGGTGTTGAAATCTCACCCGTTAGTGTTCTTTCTCTGCGCTGTTCTATCCTTGACTTATCTGCCTCTGTCATTGATCTTTGACGGATAACAGATGCTGCTAAAGATCGTTTTCTTGGTGATGTTTTCTCTTTTCCTGCAAACATAAACCCATAAAGTCAGATCAATATCTTTGTATTTTAGTACTGAAACAGGACCAGATAAAATACTTTTTATTGATCTAAATAGATTATAATGGTTAGTGTAATAGTACCAGTAGTACCTGGCAACTTCTTAAAAACCTTGGAGGACATAAASTCCAAGAACCTTCGGCTGTAAAAACTAGGTCGATGGACTGACACTGTATCCTGGRRAAAAAAGGTAAAGTTAATTCACTTTAACTAACATTCCAAATTGTCCRCAAGAGGAGATTTCTATAAAGTCWGCCTACCCCATCATGAATCATAGATTTCCAGCCATGTTCCAGCTTCTTTTTTAGTCGATAGCTTTGTAGAATATCAATGATTCCAATAAATAATAGTAGTCTTTCTCCTTTTGCATTTCTTGCTGGAATACCACCATATCTACAACAATATCAATTAATTACTGACAAAGAGATATAACATTAATAAAACAAAACTAAATATGCTTTCTCTGTCTGAATTATATTGAAAAATAGAAGTTTGAATAATTAAATAGTAATTCAACAATAAAACTGATAAGCATATAAAAGATATAACTAAATTTTGCAATTTGTAATGTAGTTAGATAGTACAGTTCTACATGGTTCTGTTGTTGGATAATACTTACGGTCTTTCTATCGTTTCTTTAACAGTTATGGCTTCCCAAGCAGAATTGAAGCCTTCTCGGCCTTTAAGACTTTTAGATCTTTGAAGAGCTTGATGATCAGCAAATGATTCAGCCTCAGATTTCTCTACTAACTTGATACTTGTTGTTTCTATTTACAGAATGGACAAGAGAGTATTTATTGGCATGAATAGTTTTGCATTCATAAATTAAGCCAAAGTTTTATTAGGCTCCTTTAGCAAACAACATAGGAGCACCTACATATTTCCCTACCTATAGGTTTTTCTTGGTCTGTCATTTGACCTGAYGGCGTTAAGGTCCCATCTTGCTGTCTCTCTCTTTGTGCTTCATCAAGATTATGTATTGCTAGCAGCAGACTGTAATCCATTATCTTAAAACTTTCCAGCACCTATAATAACATCAAATACATTACTGGTACATTACATATAACTAAAAAGCTTTAGTCACATAAAACTACAATTCTTGTACAGTATTTTACACTGAATGTAATCAGTACCCACCCTACAATCTCTTTGAAGAGTTCTGATTAATGCATTATGTGTTTCTGATTCCAATAATATTCCCTGTTGATCCCAAAACAAAGTTTAATAGTATAAAATATGTGCATCAAGTTGGGAGTTTTAATTTAACATGCTAGCAATATGAGTTATATTTATTGCTACTGTTTGTCGTTGCTGTTGCCCTTGTTATTATTGCTGACATGCTTATCATTGTTGGCRTTKTTTGATGCTGGCAGTAATAATAATAGTGTTGTTGCTGAACACTACAAATATGATGTTCAACCTACCTCTGGATGATCACTAAGAAAGTCCAAGTCTTTTAATGTAGGTGTACTTTTAGCTCGCTCAGCTTTAGAAGATCTTCTTTTGTATGTAGATCCCTACCAAAAATAATACAAAATAAATGAAAAATGACAGGAAAACAAAACAAGCAAACAAAGAATTTTACAAACCTTTAAATCATATTTCCAATGAAACTTATAAACTGTAGGTAAGAGATTGTTCATGACTACCAGTCGGATATTTTTCCCTCCACACTAAAATAAAAATAAATAAATAAATAAATAAATAAATAAATAAATAAATAAATAAAAGGTGAGAAATCCATGAACTAACAATAACATGATGTACAATGTATATAAACATTAATAGCACAGTCATAATGCATGCCATACCTGATAGCAAAACTGCCCAAAGAACTTTGGTAGAAGAGTTTTTTTGTTTTGATTAAGATTCTATGAGATCAACATAATGCTGTTTATATTCATGTCAACACTAAATACAGATATTGTGAATAAATAAAACAATATACAAAGCCAAATAATAAACTGACAACCCATCAATCAACRGTGATCAATCAACTATCAAGCATCAATCAGTCATTCAATCTGATGCCATCACTCAATCAATCACCATCAATCAATCAAACGACCATTAATCAATCAATCAATTAATCAATCAATCAATTAATCAATAGGCAAACAAATCATTAATAATACAAACATGGAATATCAACTCACCAAATAATATCCTGGAAGCAGTTTTTGTAAGAATTCAGCTTCCTTATGGTCAACAGTCTTGATAATGAATTGATTGTCGCAGGTAACATAAAAAAGAGAACCACTGGCACCAGGATTAGACAATTCTTGTAAAGGATCATTGCACAATGACATCTATTAATAGATACATTGATTAAAACTGGTTGATAAACCACCATATGACCTTCCATATACATCATAGTCATATTTACGATCTAACAATTATTGTAAAGTCTATATTTTGTGAATATTGTGATGGTTTGACTTACCATAAAATCATCAGCCTTCATACTAAAAAGTTCTCTAAAGAATCTGTGAATACAAATGAGCAATTAATGAAAGAATAATAAAAAAATTATTGAAAAATAATTTAAGCAGGAAGTGAATCAAAATTACTTTAATAGCAAGATTGGATAAATGCAAATTGAAAAATAAATAACAAACAAATGATTCCTGAAAGCAATGACTCTATTATATTTGAATGTAAAAAGGCAGTAACAACTATTGAGAAATAAATAACAGTTGCTACAGTAACTTAACGAATGGTACCCAATGAAATTATGGATACCAAAACAAATGATTGAAGAATTTGAATTAATGGAAGAACAGAAGAAATTAAAGGCTTGGCTATTTACCTGTAAGCAACAGGAGCATATGACTTGAATTTAAAATCACTAAATTTATGAGATGGTGTTCCTTTGGTTCCTTCACTGAAATAACAAAACAAAAATGGCATAAAATCAGTAATATTATAAAAAACAAAATAATCCCCTCAGGAGAGGGGTGGGGAACAGGACACAGCTTTAAACATATAAAATTGCACTAAGGTTGTTACCTAGGGAACCACACTGTTTCAATTTCAGCAAAATCTTGCATTAATACATCGCGCTCTTGTTTTGCAGAGAGTCTTCCAACCTGAACAAAAAAGCAAAAATAATGTAAATATWAAAAAATATCATTTAGGTTTTGCTGACTAAGTATGTTTTAGCTTTTGCCATAACTAGTACGGTGTAATCACATCACTAGTCTAGTATGATTATTCAACTTTACTAAGCTAATATGAAAATGACTTTTATAATTATTACTGCTTTGAGGGAAGGAATGATAATATAACTATAAGAGAAAACTTACTGTAAACCCAATGCCAAGCTGAATAGCTGACATCAACGCTGATGACGGTGTCTGTTTAAAACACAATATAGAATTATATTAATAGAATGTGTGTGTTGGTGCAGTTTGCTAGTTCATTTGTGAGAAACCAATGATAAACTTACTTCAATTGGCTAGTTCCTTATTCAKCCATAATATCACAAATAATGCAAACATGGATCACACTATAAGCCCTTCATAATTTTTAAAGTAAAGCTTTTTAGAAATACATTAAAAAGCAATATAATGCTCAAGAAACAATTCTTTGCAGAATAAACTATAACATCTTTCTTATGCAACCTTTGTCTTATTTGCATATCACATATTTGTCTAAAATCTATGGAATTTTAATCATTTCAATGATTACATATTATTGTTCAGTGATGTGTAAAACTACTCTTGCATATAATGAAATTTTGAATGCTAAAACASAAGATAAAGTTGTGACATGAGAGATGGATAATAGCCTAAAATTGAATATTCAAAAATTATATGCCTAATCATTTATACCCAAATTGCTAAGATTTTAAATTGTAAAGTTGATAGCAATGATAATGACCTTTTTGTATGTTGTTTCACCCTTTTCATCAACTCTTCTATGTCCTAACTTTGATCTAGGGGTAGATGCCTTTCCTTTGTCTGTTTTATCATAGCTTATCGACATGGCTTGAGCTGCAGAAACCTACAGTGATAAAATTACAGTATGTTAATATGATTTTATACACTAGCTATAATTAACCATTAATAAATATTTGGAAAAATTGTTTATCTTGTTGGTTAAAAYAAAACAGTATTTATCACTGAAACATTCATCTTAATCTCTGTTTGTTCTTTTGACTTGTTTTAAAGATTTGAAACCAGACAGAAAATAACATGTTATTTTACATCAAGTTAATGATTTGTTTTAGCAGTATAATGATGGAGACAAAGCAAGAAATACTACGTTTGACAAGAAATTATAATTATAAATATAATATTATTAGTATTAGTATTAATATTAAAATTATCATATCCAGCATTATATAATTTATTCAAATAATAATACTAATAATAATTAATAACAATAAAATATAACATAAAAGATATAATAGTAAAATAACAATACATTGATAAATTTTACATGTAAGTAATTCGCATTTTTGATTTCGAGCAGAGAAAATATTTTTAATCTAATTCAACAATAACATTTCCCTTTGCATAACAAAAAATGGGATATGGTAAAACATGAGGCAAGTGTTTGTTTTATTGCCCTCGAAGCAACTCATCAATTGTTGACAATCCCTAGGGAGAATATTAACAAAGATATGCCAATATTAGTAAGACCCCGAATAAGTATATCAAGAAAACAGGCACTTWAACTTGAATTTAATAAAAAGTACAGCGTACAAAATGGGATGTTCACGTGAAAGGGAAACGGYAACAACTTGAAAAATATCTTTCGAAAGCAAACTCACGTCTAAAGGAGCAGGTCTTGACTTTTGCTTGTCTGTGATATTATAAGACGTRGAGCCCTTCTCTGATAAGTCAAACAACAATTATTAGTAAAACTGGAAAGAGGGACATTTGAGCAACATGGACATGCAGCTACACTGAAGTAGCGACTTGAGAAATACAACTGAAAGCGACACAAGCCTTAACTGCTTTACAAGTCAAGGGTTCAGAAATAATCTATTGAATGAGAAGAAAGAAAATACTTTAACGACCGAAATAAATGATCTTTACGTTACCTGGTTCAAGATTGGTTTCTGCCATCATCTGAAGATAACGAGGGCGATTACAAAATCATGGCTGAGTTTATAGATTTCTCGGAGCGGCACAAAAACAACATAAATGCACAGTCTTCTTRGGTGGACAAAGGATATTATTTGCCGCCTTAATGGTAGCTTTTTGCACAAATACGGACAATAAACTCGCCGCTCAATCACATTATCAAACAAATTCGCCACAAACTGGAGATGTAGGCACTCTTCCCACCCCGAACAGTATTGGGAAACTGGTGCGAGTCCAAAATTTATCAATCGATAAATGTCCGCAGTCACATCGGAAATTAAAAACACGAGAGAAATTTTCTTAAGAAAGGTTTTATACATCCATTCTCCACACATAATCGTTTCAAATTAACATTATTCTTGTGGTTAACTATTCATTGTAGTCCTGATGTTCTAAAAATATATTTTATTTAACATTTGACACCTAGTCGATATTTTAACGGAGAATGTTCCTTGCAGTCGTTTGTCGGCGGCGCGAATATCAGACGGAAATTTTATGATGCAAAATGAGACTGACAACTTGTAGTTTRTCGTCTTTAAATCCCGGAAAAGTACCATTTCGCATTTTGTTTTTCGGGACAGATCACTTTGCCGTTACTCCGCTGCGAAAGCTTGTTGAAAATTCCAGGTTTGTAGTTAAATACGATCATGATTTACCACTTATTACAGAGTTCAACTACCATATTTGTAAAAACAGCGCTGTTCGTCTTGGTAGTAGGCAATTTGTAAACAATAGAGCGGATTTCGTATGAATGTGCAAAAGAACGGATCACAACACGGATACGGCACGGCACGGTCACGGAACCTCGCCTTCTAGGATTTCAAATGAAAGTAAAGATTTTACAATGCATCACGGCTACGGCACGGTACGGACACAGCACGAACGTACCGTGTTTTTTTGCACAGTCATACGAAATCCGCTCTATGAAATATTTTCAGCACCTCCGCGCAACCTTTTCTAAGACTTACAACAGTCTTTTTACTTTTTAACAGAAATTGCTTGAGGAGTGTTTTGGTTTGGAAAAATATTAAAAAATGCAACTTTTCCATTCTTTATAAAATGAGAAAGGAATGGAAAGTGAACGAATTGAATTCGGAATTTTGTTACTCTAAAGCAAACTATTGCTGACCTTTGTTAGCTGCATGGCCAAGTTTATTGTTTTAAATCCTAGATACAAATCTCTTGCTCATATTGTATAATATTACTAGGATTTGCTAATTACTCTGAATTTTGTTTTTGTTCTTTTTGAATTGATCAAATATATCATTTTATCTAAACTTGTTCAAATTACTACTTATTTGTTGATATGCATTGATTGGAGGTTATAAAATTGTTATCTGCAGAACCACTGACAACAACAGAATAATAGAAAGTGTGGATGTAGTATGCCCTCCTGAGAGGCGAAGAGTTATCAATAAAGTAATCATTCTGTCTATTTATATTKTCTATAATTATTTATAATCATTATAAATGATTATGTATAATATATAATGTTTTGGAAAAAAGTATMAAAAAAATGATGATGGTGATTTTAATGTTGATAAAAAATCATTTTAAAAATAAGTTTTTTCATAGATTTTCCAAACAAAATATACTTAAAATATCTCTATTTCCTCCAGAACTTTTTCGATGATTATCAGCATATTATAACTGTAAGAGAATTTGCACATGATGAACAGCTACCAATCCACTACTGGTATGGAAAAAAAGGCAGGAATGATGATAACAGGTAAGACACAATGATGTAAGGTCTCCAGATGTTTCAAAATTCACTTAGAGAAAAAGTGGAAACCAATTCTTGAATTTCTCTTCAGCTGTTCTACTTATTTCTTGCTGCTAAAACTCTGAGAAAATGTAATGTTTTAGGCCTGTTGTTACTGACATGTTGTAGCTTGATTATATTGTTTTTTGTTTCAGTTTAAACAGTCAATATGATGTTGGTGTTGTAGCATCCTTTGGACATTTGATAACTAACAATGTTCTTGATTTATGCTTACGGTATGATAAGTTTTAAAGTTGTAAACTGGCACATTTAAAAATAGGCTATTGATATTATGAACTTAGTGAATAGAATGAGATGAAAATTGAATGAATGATAATATTGAATGGATGAATAGGATGGGATACAAGTAAAAAAATAAATAAATGGATGAATGGATGAATTTAACAAATGAATAAGGAATATAATGTATGATATCATAACCTTGTAGTGGTTCTTTGAATATTCATCCATCACTTCTGCCTCAATGGAGAGGAGCAGCACCCATGTCRTATGCAATTCTACAAGGAGCTCAAGAAACAGGAGTTTCCATAACTGAAGTGTCACGAAATAAGTGAGTTTGTGAATAGAACTTTGCCATATTTTTTTTATTTCTGTCTCTGCTGTCTTTTTTAATTCTTTGTTGCATCATTCTTAGATTTGATCTTGGAAAAATTCATTTACAGAAGACATTTAAGGTAATGTAATGCCCCAATATTTTTCATAGGTATAGTATCACATTTTATTTACATTTTGGTTATCRAAAAATTCTAAATAAGCAGTATTATCATATAATAATTCCAATTAAATATTCATGAAATTGTTTTGACTATTAGATCCCTAAAGATATAATGTTTGACGATTTATCAACAAGACTAGCAACCTTAGGTACAGAAATGGTAGGTTGGACTGTGTATTGTTATTATCACTGATTATTTGACAAATTACTATAATAATTTTAATTCTTATAGTTATTTGAATGTTTATCAAATTTGGATGAATCAATAGAGCAAGCCTATAAACAGTCTACTGACAACTCTTCAAATGGTGAGCCATCGCTTTTGTGGCCATGTATCGATAGTTGTTCCCACAGTGTGCCGCCAACACAGCACCTTTTTAATGGGGGGCTAATTTCTTAAAAGTATTGGGACTGAGGTCTAATATAAGTCAAGAAACAGCATAATATATCAACATATAGAGCTCTTTTAATAAACCTGTCTGCACTGTCCAGAGTAGTGTTCTGTGCTGTATGGCATGGTCTGAGAGGAACCAGAGATCTGGGAACTAGATTGCAATAGTATTTATCTTTCATTTCTTTTGCTTTCAGCACCAAAGATTGTGAAAAAAATGGGATATATCAAATGGAACGAACATACATGGTYGGACATCTGGAGAAARTGGAGAGCATTTTCAACTAGAGTAAAACATATTTCGTTTTTATTTTTTTCAAATGTTCTTTGCAATGAATGAATGACTTCTAGATTCACTAAATTATCTGACTGACCTATTGGTTAACTAAAGATCTTTATTCTAGCTTTACACCATGTGGGAAATGTATGTTGCAGGGATAGACTAGAATAGCCGACTTGCGAATTACGCATCAATAGTCACATACAAAGGAATCAAGACGAGGCGCCGTGCTTTTTGTGAAAATCTATTGTCTTTAGCACGGCGCCTCGTCTTGATTCCTTTGTATGTGACTATTGATGCGTAATTCGCAAGTCGGCTATTATAATACATAGTCAATTGTATAACTGAGTTAATGTCAACTCATCTCTTTGCCAGGTCGGCCTTCATGCACTATGGAGAGGAAAGAAAGTCCGTCTGGTAACCATGACAGCAGATAAAATTAATGGTATATCAACATAATTTCTTGACAACATTTTACACATATTCAGATTCGATGATAAGTAAAATTTATGTCAAGAGATTTGGTTTGATTTTCCACACTTTAGATCCAACAGAAGACGATTTGAACGCACCTCCAGGGCAGCCAAAGTATGACAAGGAACGATCKCTCCTTTTCATCAAGTGCAAGGTTGGAATTTCCCTGCGTGTTTTTTTTTCTCAAAACAAATTGTAGAAAACATGCATAACTGTTGTTCAGTCCAGTACAGACTAGTATAGTGTCTGCATGTAGTCGATACTCTACATCAGATACAGTGAGGGGTGATTAGGGTGCATAGCCAGAAAAAAATTAAAAAAAAGTAATTAAACCAGAATGGGACTCCAACACTGGTACAAGTAAATAGTTTGAGATCATAACAAAAGTCTTATTCATGCTTAGAATTTGGATTTCCCCTCCTTCATTGTCCATCTAACATGATCTTAYCGACTAACCAAAGCTTCTTTTCTGCAGGATGACTGGGTTGCATTTAAACAGCTTCAAGTAGAATGTAAATCGATTATCACCGCTAGAGACTTTTCTAATTCATATTTAAAATCACAAAAACACTCGGACAGCACTKTATTTGAAATCATTAACGAATAGTGTTCAAGTCATGAGTGGGTGTGGCAACACGCGATAATGAAGTAACCACCAACGTGGACATATATCATGAACATTGTATATATWTTTTTTATATATAGTTAAATGTTTCTTGAAAATTTAAGCATTGGTGAAATAATGAGGTAAAGAATTTTTTAAATGTTAATGTATAGTATTATACATAGTAAAAATATCTAGTCTCCGTATTAAATTCAATCTAGGCGGTCGTATAACGACGGAAATAAATCAGTAGCTGTTGGGTACTCTTGCGTATTAATTCGTTGTTATTTTCATTTGGGTTACCCCTTTTTACGACTGACGAACGATTATTTTACCTGTAGGTCGGAATACCGAAAGACCATTAGCTGAATAAAAACATTGTGGGCGGATCTCAGTCTTTTCCCGACAACCGAGTAAGAAATCGTTCATTTTATTGAATATTTTCAGTGCGTATTTTTTGAACGGGACTTTAAAGTTATGAATATTGCGTGCTAAAGCTACAGTTCTTTTTTTAATCTGTCTACTTGTTTATTTTATCCGTCTTAAGAGAGCTTTACTGGTGGCTCTATTAGCACCACCTGTTGAACTTTTTATAATGTTGCCGCCGATAATAAACAATGATTAATGTAATTTTTTGCTTCATTTTTTATTGCAAAGGATTCAATGTGCTACTTCTATCAATAAAATGTAGAAGAAACCTGGCTTTTTATGAGATTTAAGCGAGGAAACATCGAAGGCTAGAGCGTGATGAGATATAAAATCACAGCCTATGAATAGTATTATCCATCAATGATCTCATGATTCCAACACTACATTTTATGTCTATCTGCATATTTACAAACTCCTATTTGCAAAAACATCGTAGTTTTTTCATCGTTAGATATTTGATACGAACTTCATTATGTCTGACGATGAAGCAGACGAACTTAGCAAGGAATATTTAATCAAATTCCTTGCTTTGGGAGATTCTGGAGTTGGAAAAACGAGCTTGTTATATCAGTACACCGACAATCGTTTCAACCCACGATTTGTTCCCACCATTGGCATCGATTTTAGAGAGAAGAGAGTGGTAAGCGCACGATTTAACTGGATATCTTGATAGTTAAAATCCCATAAACTGTCAATGTACTGCCCAGATCAGTTAATTTTCTTGTAAGCAAAAACAATAACAAAACCTAAACGTACGCACACCAACTGGTCAATGTAATGAAAATGTAATATGCAATGCACTTATTCCAACTACATAAATATGAACAATAAGTATTGTTGCGCGAAATGCACAACATAATCCACGAGTTAACCACGTATTGTTTGCCTTTGTAAACCCTTTTTGAATTACGATATACTATTATTAAAGCTMTAAAAAATATAGTATAGCTATAAAAATTAAAACAATGTGGAACCTGAGATGTTAAAAAGAGATGGACAAGATGAAGCCCTGAATTGATGCCATACCGGATTTTTTACATCCAACATGATAAAGTTGACGCGAGTTTGTACCTCAACTATGCCAAATTAAGCATCCAAAAAATCTTTAATAATCAAAAACCAGTCATTAAAAATTATAATTATCAATAATTTTTTTCTACAAAAATTCAAGAATCGACACACGGTTTCCTTGCCAACAGCTAAAACAATATTCCATGCGAAAAACCAAAACATGAAGTTACATTCAAAAAGTACTATCAAATAATCAAAGCTACGTGATGATATTCCACAAGTTAGATAACCACGATTGTTGTTTTTTTTTGCCACTGGAAAACTCTAATTTTGCCGCCCAAGTTTATAAGATTTACATAAACATATCAACAAATCAAATTCAAGTTCGAGTTCAATTAGCCAATCAAGTGCCTCGTTATATCGAATGGTCAATGTTCACTCGTGTTGCTAAAATTGTGCTCAATATGGCGGATCCCGGAGGAGATTACGATTATCTACTGAAATTTCTTGCTCTTGGTGACTCAGGGGTCGGTAAAACAAGTATTCTGTATCAATACACAGATGGTTCTTTCAATCCTAAGTTTATCTCAACTGTTGGCATCGATTTTCGAGAGAAAAGAGTGGTAAGTATATTGTGTTGTAGGGCGAGTCATATTTTACCCATTCGTAACAGAACGGCAACRACGGTGCATTTTCATTACTTTGGTTTCAACGAGAAAAAAAACTCATTTTTGTTTGAACTGAGGTTGATTGCAAGCTCATGTCTAATATAACTAAATGAGTTTGTTGTAGACGAGTGAGAGATATGGTTGAAAACAGCTGCTTTGACGTTTCTCGTACGAGACTCTTAGTTCCGTTTCACTAAAATCCTTCGCTCCTGATGAAGGCACGATGCGTCTGTGTGTTTTATTTACAATCAATATTTTATGGTTAAGTCATATTGTTTGAGGTAGTTTTATGCTGCGCTTGACGAGAAGAAGGCGAAATAAATCACTTCTAGTKCAAAAATGCTATTTTATAAGTAAGGACTTGCACATTCTTTCGTGCAGCCATTCGAAACTTGTTATGTTATTTTTTTCTAGGGATGTTATGGAATCCTTTTGATATTTATTGAAAATTGTCGTTGTATTTTAATGTCGTTATAATAAAATATCTTGGCGTCCTGGTGAATTTTTCCCAAACACAATTAGATTCACAAATTCTCAGTTCTTGTCAATTTCAATGCTAATTAATTAATAATTCCAAATTGTTTTGCTTGAATGAGTTCGTATATACGTTCATATACCAGCCATCAGAAAAGGCTTGTTACGCCTTGTATATTGGTGGTTTGGATCTAAAGCTAAACTGATTAGTGTATATTTACTGCATACTGAGCCAGTAGAGTTTTGTTTTTACTTTCACCTGCTAATCACTAAAACACTAGGTGGGGAGGGGAGGGTCAAAATGTTTTTGTTACAAATCTCTCCATATCAAAATAAACTGAGAAATGAAAATGGAAAAATGTGTATTTCATTGCTACATGATATTCATAAGATTCAACTTTAGGGATTTGTTGATGATATTGATCTGTGTTTATAGTTCAGTCTGATTACACTCTGGTCCAAAGTTCTGCTTTGAGATATTTTGAATTTTTTTATCATAATAGTGCTTCAATGTTTATTTTTTATTGCCATTGTTATTGTTGAAAAATATTGTTTGCTAACTGAATGTAATGATAACTATCAAATAAAAAAAACCCTAAAATAATGAAAACAAAAAGATAAAAGTTGTTTATGGTTATATTTTGTAGGTTCATCATCCTCTGAATTCAGATGGTACACGGTCAACCAGAGGGCAAAGAATACATTTACAGCTTTGGGATACAGCAGGACAAGAAAGGTTATGTGCAATATTCTTTTATTACAGACCCATTTATGAGTTTACAAACAGGATATGAATTTATTTAATTCATTTTTTTGATATGGTTGCTATGATTTATCAGRTTTATTTATCATTCATTTCTTTCTTTTTTCATTTAAGTTAATTCATTTATTTAATAATCTAGTCATTCATCCACTTGTTTGTTTGTTTTTTGTCATTTCTTTGTTTGTTWGTTTTTTGTTCAATTTTACTTCATTTATTTGTTCATTCCTTTGTATTCRTAAATAGCTCACAGTGTTTATTGTTTTTGTGTGTGCAGGTTTAGAAGTTTAACAACAGCATTCTTCCGTGATGCAATGGGATTTCTATTAGTATTTGATCTTACCAATGAACAGTCATTTGTTAATATACGCAACTGGTTGAGTCAACTACAAACACATGCCTACTGTGAAAAYCCTGACATTGGTAAGCAATAGGACATAATAATAGCTCCATGTATATAGCTGTACCTAGATAGTTGTAACCATTGCCTTTGTTGTTTTCAGTTTTGCTTGGAAACAAGGCTGATCTAGAGGATCAAAGAATGGTTGATGAAGGAGAGGCCAAAAATTTGGCAGAAAGTCTTGGTCTGAAATATTTTGAAACCAGTGCATCGACTGGTCAGAATGTAACAAAATCAGTTGAGGCTTTGCTAGACCAGGTAAATGTCACTTACRCACATTTCATCAAAAAGTAACTTCCAAGAAAATTAGAATAAACAAAGTCCAATCATAATGCATGTAGTGTTTATGTTTTATATTCAACTACTTTTCAATCTTCAGGTCATGGTGAGAATGGAAAACTGTGTTGATCAAGCTACTCTTCCTAATAATGTCTTCAATAACAATCCAAATAGAGGACCAAAGCTGAGAGAAGTTGATGAGGCTAATGATGAAACAAGTAGTGGATGTACTTGTTAGTCATTCATTGAGAAAATTATGTTTTTCCAAAGTAATATCCACAAGGGAATCGGGTGTCCTTTTCAGTTTGGAGAGAAACTACAGATACAAACTCTTTCCATGAATGGACACAACTAAAACTGTACAATTATTACAATTTTAATTCAAAATGCGACAGCTGCTGAGATCAGCAATATAAACAAAGACAATACAACTAAATTTATTAGTTTAAAACCATAGCTGGTTAAGTTATTGAATGGTTCAATGTTTATCTGGAACTGTTGTTCTGTACTAAGTGAAAGCCTGCTGTATAGTTTACATACACCTCTCTCTTAGAATCAACAACTTTGCAAAACAATACTGCTTTACAAAAGATCCTGCYACTGCACAAAAGAAAAAAAATTGAATATAAGATAATGTRCCATTCCAAGACCCTGGGAAAATGCTATTTATAGAGAGAGATTTGTTAAGACTTTCACTAGATTTGATTAGATTTTTATTGGGCATTTTGAACATGGAATGGCCTCTGGCCTATTGYTGGTGACAACTTTTATATAAGAAAATGAATAGATAGAAGGATAGACTAGTAAATGGAACCAGTATAGTTAAATATAATTGGTAGATTGTTGACTGCCTTAACATGTCCAAAATCTGCCATCTTGTATAAGACACCTCACAGCCAACAATCKTCTATCATCTTGTTAGATGCATGCAAAAATGCAGCATAATTGATCCTACATTGAAGATAATGTAGTACCAAGACATTACACATTATAAGGTGCTGGTATTATTACAATATTTTACAGTGTAAATCAAATGATGTTAGAGTCAAATAGAATTAACTATGCTCGTTAACTTGTTTGAGCTATATCACTGTTTTGAATCATTCATGGTGTAAAATAGAGCAAGCAACTGAAAGTAGGGACTTTCAGTGTGTTCCACACTTTAATCTGGATTAAAAAAACATAACACACGTTTTGGCTGTAATTTCTTGATCTACACTGCAAAAAAATTGATCACTGAACTGTTTTTTTTTTACAAAAGGATTTCATTTGTAACTTGGTCTTCCAAAATTTAATAATTTGTTGGCTTTAAGCAAAGTGATGGCAAACAACTAAAGTAGGACTGCTGGCAGTCCATAATATGSTTAAAATATGCATGCATGAAACCTGTACTTGTGCTAAATTACCAGATGTCTATTTATTGGCACCAGCAGAAAACTACAAAGAATATAAACACTTACCAGACAGTATTATAATAAAATAATTGTATCAGACTATTAACTGGGCCCACTTCAACAACGATTATACATAATTATTGTACACATTAAKTTGAAAAAAATATCATTACCAAAATAGCAATAATTTGTGCAAAGCCCTCTGTTTTATTATTTCCTTTAACGTTAGTATTACRTCCATAAAATACTGGTTATTGACTCCTTCTATGAAGAGAAAAATGATTGATTAAGATTGTGGAAATGGGCCTAGTGTCATTAGAGTTTGTTTTTTCTTTCAATACATTAGACTCTGATAGTAAGATGTAGAGTTTCTTATTTAGACTTAAAATATTTTCCTTATACATAGGTATCAAACATTTAAGTTATTAGAAGTACAAGTAGTTTACTTTACCATTTTTTATGTCAATTTTGATCCATCAGTAGGAATAATATCAAACTAATGTGTTGATAATGATTCGAAACACTTGATAACAACAAATTATTGTCACACAACACAAAATATTAGAATTACGAATGAATTACACAATAATTATGTAATTCATTTGTAATTCTAATATTTTGTGTTGTAATAATTTTGTGTTGCAATAATTATTATTGCCATCTTATGCATAACATTACAATAATTACCAGTCTTAAATGACCCTTAATGACCTTAAGACACTGACAATATTAGACTACGATTCGTAAGTAATAAACGTGACAAAAAATAAACAATTTCATGCAAAAATCATTCTCTGAAGATTTAGACTGGAAGTAAATCTGATTAAAAATATTTACATTTTCTGGGACAATGAAGTTTTTAATCTTATATCGTGTGAAATTATGATAATGTAAAAATTATTATGTTTGATGAAATCAGTTTAGAGAGAGTCACTTTTAACTTTAAATTTCCTTTCATAATTATAAGACAAATAACTCTACTTAATGCCATGATTATCATTCATTACTTTGTGTTATAGAGTGTGGTTATATTTTGGTGACTTTATAAATAATTGCAATAAATATTGAAATATTAAAATCTTTATGGTATAAATATTTTGTTTAATGATACCCATTTAGTGATCCTTGTCAATCAGCTATGATTGATCCTTGTCAATCAGCTATGATTCCTTTTGATCCTAATGGCTTTGATCGTCCAACAACCTGAGAAAACCTTGGTCGCTCTTTGAGCTTTTCTTCTGATGAGGCAAAACTCTTTGCAGTCGGAGCCCTTTTTAGTAAAACAGAATTGAATTGTACATCAGTATGTCATTACTCAGTGATAAATTATCATAAATTATATATATTATTATGATTAATGAAAAATTATATACACCTAATTACAAAAACATTGTCCTGAGATTTAGGGATTTAGGAAATTAGGAATACATTAAAAGACAAAACGTGACCACTGAAGCCGAACACTTTCTTTGTATTTTAATTAATTCCTACATAGTAAAAGTTCTTTTTTCTTGGACAGCGTTTGTGTAATTAGGTGTATGTGTTTAATTCTAATCTACATCATGATGTCAYACAAGAGACTTGCATTGAAATAGCAATAGGCAAAGCTCACCTTTTAATGAAATCCATTGTAGCTTGTATCTTCTTGGTCTTCCTATGGTTTGGTCCCAGTGCACATGTTAACATGGCTTTACATGACTTTAGATGTTGAAGGGCAGAGTCTATCTTGCCTTTCTTTAGGTAAATACTTCCAAGTAAATGATGAACATTGGCAGCCTCTACACTTGGATCGCCAAATGCAGCCAACTTTGATGATAACAGACTTTTCAACAGTTTGATGGATTCTTCTATGGAGTTGTTTCTGATTAACAAGTGACAAAGTTCTTCCTAAGGAGTACAATAATTGATACTGAATTAGCTACATGGATGTATTACTTTTAAGCATAACTACACCAACAATTGTCTTTTAGTTCAATTTTGCATAATATCATTATTAGAAGATTTACTACACCAACAATTGTCTTTTAGTTCAATTTTGCATAATATCATTATTACAAGATTTACATTTAGGATTTTCTTTAGGCCCAGTTAATGACATACCTGTGCTTTGATGGTCCTTGCGGAATAAGGACCTTCAATCGTATTGTATATATCATAAGCGGCTTGTAAATGTTGTTGTGCTTTACTTTGTTGGTAGTCATCATCAAACAAACAATATACACCAGCAACAGCCATTGATGAATCTGCTAGTACCTCAATTGAATCATCCTCATATCTTCATCATTAAAACATTATTTCATGGTTTAGATGTAGAACACACAACGGGTTAAGCTAAATCTTTGCTTTCTTCAATAAATTCATGTTTTAAGACTTATATTTTAATTACTAAGCATGCACTAACTATATTCAAGACTATTCAACATGGCCTAGTGTCCACATATTAACATGATAATGACAATATTGTAATTGTGTGGCTGAGAGGATTAAGTAAACAATAGAATAGAATAGTTAAAATGTAATCAACCATTGATTTACTTTTCTTATTTATTGTTATCATCATTTTAATATTTATTGTTTACAGTTACCATGGTAACAAGTATTACTTACCTTTCTTTAGCGATAGCATGTGCCTTTAAATAAGAGTCTAGTGCTCTTTCTTTACTGGTTACATCCATTCCCTGAAGCATCTCAGCTTGACCAATATTTTGATAGATTGGAATTAATCGTTTACTTTTATTGCCAAACTTTTCCTGCGCAAGCTCCAGTGCCTGAGAAATGTTAGCCTGTTAGTTTTTAGTCTGATCAAACTATTTCTTTATTATCTATTATTTATAATCATTGATTATGTAATGAAAAATCCTTGCAGACAAACACTTCATTTTGCTCTGTTGGGATCCCTGTGGTACWTTTTTGGCCAAGCAGGAAAATCCACCGTTTATGTGGCAAGGAAAAGTCTTCCTTTGGTCATAATATGAAGAAACTGGAAACCCAAGAGTAAAGAGAGAAGAAAGGAAGAGATATGCCTGCAGTGGAGGCTTTGTAATCATCATTTTACAAAATGATATTTATCTAGAAATCAATATTGTTGTCATGCATACCTTTTCAAAAGACTCCAGTGCAAATCCTGCTTTWCCCAGTTTTAGTGCTGCCTTCCCCAATGAAACATCAATCTTGACAGCTCTTTCAGGGTGACGATATTCTTTACTGAGTGAGCTTCTCTCACTAGATACAAGTTGGGCTTTCTTCAAGGTATTTTCTGCCTTTTTATACCTTCATGGAATATAATAGACCAATAGGATAAATAGCAAATTCACCTCTCCCCTGTGGGGAAACATTTGGGAATTTTCCCCATAGGGTGAGAGGTGGAAACAGAGGCTATGGAGTAAATTAAACATTCTYATAACATGCTATAAATACGTACTGTTTTAGCATCAAGTAAGCTTGTCCCATTATAAGATATGTTCTCTCAATGACWGGAATGACATCTCGTCGGTCATAATTTTGTCTCCCTTGGTACGAGATGGCATCTGATGCAACAAGAATATCTCTCGCATTCCCAGCATGGCCTAGTGCTTGCAATTCCATTCCTAATGATAAATATAAATATATAAGAAAGAGCCTTAGAAATACCACCAGTGAAAATCAGGTGAGGTAGAATTRATTATATTAATTATATCATCATAACCTGCATTAAGATATGCTTGTGCTAGTTTTGAATAAGCCTTTGCGAGCTGCCAGTGACAGTCACCATGTACAATCCTTGCTAGAGCAACACATCTGATACGTTCCCTTACTGACTCTTCATTGGTAGAATGTCTGGCTATCTTTCTTGTTCTTTTAAGTAAAACTTCAGGCTTATCAGAAGTATCTTCTGCATCACTACTAGAATCTTCTGATGATGAACCATGATGAACTTTTCTTGAATCCTCAATACTTTCTTGGACAGAGCTGGATGCTGATGGAATACTTATTATGACAGGGGGTACAGATGATGCTACAATAGAATAGGCATACATAGAACTATGAACATCTGTCTTGAGAAAAACCTAGTGTATCCTAAGCATAAGTTCTCAAATTTGATAATTTAAGCTTTATTTGAATGAATTTTCTGGAAAAGCTTCTTACCTTCATCCTGATCATCCGCCATTSTATAATTCACTTATTGTCAAAGCATATTCAGCGCTTCAACCRGCAAGAATTTTGGGAATTATATTGAAGGCATAAAATAGATATATTTATGTAGGAAATACCATGTACCCAAGAGAAATATCGTTAATAAATGCTTTTAAAATTGTCAATAGTTCTAAAYACAGCTGTTGGCGGCCATGTTTATTATTACGCACGCAAGGCATACTGGTTACCTGGCTATCGCCAAGGCAACACACACACAATGATTTGACGGCCATTTTGTGTTGTCTTGCTGTCGAAATATCATAAAAACTTTAGATATTCTCAAAATGCCACAGCCAGAGGAGCCAATTTACTGCTCTCAACAGATAAATATACCACCCGAGTTACCAGATATCCTAAAACAGTTTACAAAAGCGGCAATAAGAACACAACCGACCGATGTTTTACAATGGTCATATGCGTGAGTACTCGAACTTCGAGGAGAATGTTTGTCGATCGAGTTCTATAAATGTAAACAAAATTTACTTTCAGTTACTTCGAGGCTCTTTCCAAAGGTGAAACTCCTCCTGTAAAAGATCGTCTTGAATTTGAGCTTGGTCAACCATTAGAAAAGCCGCTAACGCAAGGACAGCTAGCCGTTCTTCACAAACAGGTAAGCTTCCTGATCACTTGAGCAGCTGAGGTTATTGACTTTAGCATTYCTAAATACTTATTATGTGCTTTTACAGCTTGGTGACAGACCATTGATTGAGCTGAGCTCTTTAGAGGAAAAGTGGAAGCACCTTTGCCTTCCYAAGAATACTCTTGAAGAACTTTTGAGGTTWGTTAATACATAATTACACCAAATTAGTTATTTTAGTTGCTGTGGAATATTTGAAATGCCAAATGTGCTGTCTCCTTGGCAAGTGTTATTAGTTTATCAGTTCTAGGCCTAAAATTGAAACTACCTAGACTAGTAATGCTTGGATAGGAGACTGCACTTGCCAATTTGTGATGCAAATAACATGTCACAAGGCTGGACAGTGTAGTGCAAAGTGGAGAGGATAGGGAGCTTTATTTGGATTTGTCATGGCCATTTTTAAAACTGTGTGTGCATGTCTGGTTGGAGGGTTAATGATTAGTTAGGCCACACTCACCTCTCTCAATGGAAATTTCATTCAGTGAAATTGGCCCAAAGGGGGCTCCCAGGGGAGTTTGGGCGATCCCACATACTTCCCGCACACAAAGATTTTTCAAATCAGAGATTGTTGTGGTAAATTAAGGTGCCATTTTCTGCAGACTGGGAAGTTTTGCTGAAGAAATCAAGTGGATACATTTCTTGGCTCTTGCTTGCAGTGCTATCAGTGAAGTAAGTGACTGCAACTTTTATTGTTTCAATTGATTGTCAAACTTATAAAGCTGATGTAGTAAAATAAAGCCAAGCAAAAACTAACCAATATATTATCTTTCTAGAACTTAACACTTGCCATGAAAGCAGTTTGTGAAATTCTGACCAAAAACTTGGAAGGTGGACCCGCACAGATTCCTTTCCTAATTTTCAAGGAATTATACACATATCTTGCGAATATTGATGGTGAAATCCCAAAGGAACATGTGGAAACAGTCATTGACCACCTWAGCTATGATGTGTAAGTACGCTCTTYRAATATTATGAAMGAACTTGCTTGCAAACTGGCACTTGATATGGCCTGAGATACTTGCTTATTAGAGAGCATACCAGCTAGTAGGGAGTGTTCATTATACTATATAAAAGAGATGCTTCTCTTACAAGAGCAGATCCAGCATTTTTTTAGGGTGGGCATTTTTTTAGGTTGGGTGCTTTTGTCAGTAATATATGGAACTGATCATTATTGGCTAGAGCAGGAAAATTATGCACAATTTGACCAGAAGCAAATTGACTTTTATTACAACGTATCTTTGACTACACTACTCAAATAGATTGTTAAGCAGCATAGTGGCAGACACATGTTGTGTATGCTACTCGTTTTCTCGATTAAAGTACAACGGGAGTGTAAACAGCAGAAAATAATGTTTATTAAAAACTATTAAAAATATGTCATCAAAAAAGGGGGAATGCTTTTGCACCCAAAGCACCTCCCCTGGATCCGCCCCTGTCTTACTTCATTGGTTAAACCTTGCATGTGCTGAATTAATTGCCCTTTGGAAGATAATGAGCAGAAACAAATGATTTAGCACATGTGGGATTGAGCAATTTTGTTACATGTAAATATTGTTGATATTCAGGTTTCATACTGATTAATGATTTTTTATTTTAGAGACAAGCAAGATGGAATGGTTGGTCCTCGTAATTTCATGAGYGGTAACTGTCCTCCACTCTCACCAGGCAACTAACTATTGTAGATAACACTTGTATATAGCTCTGGTTACATAAACCATCACTGTACAATAAACATTACCCTATTAGTACTCATTGCTGTAAAAGTATTCTTTTTTTTCTTCCTTCTTTCTTTCTTTTTCCCCTTCATTTTGATCGTTATAATTGTTTCAGCGAGTAAACGTTTTCTTCAGATCTTTCATCATTTTGTTCAATTCTCTTCTAAAGTTACTGTTACCAAAAGCATAAAGTACGGGACTGATAATTGAACTTGTGTGTGAAAACGACTGGGCAATTTGCCTCACTGAAGACCGACCACCGAATTTGAGCCCATAAACACGAAGTAAGTCTACCAACATTACCGGCGCCCAGCRAACAACGAAAGAAGCCACTACAGTAACTAACATCTTGAGTGCCTTCCTCTTTGACTTTGTCGATCTTTGACTAATGCTGTGCTGACTTCGTACTTTCAAAAATCTAAAWACWGCSGCATAAGTCAATGTTATGATGAACAAAGGAATAAGAAAACCAAAGACAAAGTAAGGAGTAAAAGCAAGTTGACTACTAAACGAGTTATTGCCAAAAGAACAAAACCTCATCTTTTTYGTTTGGTACCTTACTGTATCTGGTATTGTGTTGTTAWGTTTTCGGAATTTTTTCGGGATTTTTCCGAACTTTTCGTATGGTTGATCTTTCCCAACGAAAATGAATCCCACAGCAATGACGCATGCGTACATCCAGAGGGTGAAAATTACCACAATGCGCCGAGTTTTGGCCATGTAGAAATACTTGAGTGGGTATACAATTTGCTGATAACGATCAATAGCTATMCCAGAAAGCAACGCAAAGGTTACTGCTGCACATGCATTATGGCAATACAACATGATCTTGCACTCTACACTGGAGACGTTTATATGCAATGCAGGCAATATMACACGAGTTATAACGTAGACAATACGAAACAGGATGTCCGCCAAAGCAAGGTTCAATATCAAGACATTTGAAATGGTGCGTTGTGGAATACGTCGAATCCTTAACACCACCATACAAACGAGGCTACTACTGACAATACCAACCACCATCAATGTGAAGCTTGCTATTTTCATTTTACGATTAATACCAAGCATTTCTCGGTCCAGATCATTCTCATGACAAGCCTTCCATGTTACAATGTTAGCTTTGTTATCGCACGATGATTGACTTTCGTTTAACCACGTGATATTAACCATGATGTCCCTGAATGTTATAATAAAATGACCCATTTACTATACAGTAGAATCTCCCGAAAGAGGACACCATTTGGAAGCAGAAAAAGTGTCCATTGGTTGAGCTGTTTGGCTATGAGGAAGTCTAAATACAGAATACAGGAAAAAATCGGGGTTTTGGAAAGTTGTCCATGATTAGAGCTGTCCGCTTACGGGAGAGTCCGTATCTGAGGATTTGAATGTAACGGATATTCTTTCTGACGGAGTAATATCCTGTCTTTCTCAAATTTCCACAAATAGCTAGCCCGACTTCACGCTCTAAGACTTCTTTTAGTTGATATTACAARAACTGTTCATTGTGATTTAATCGAAGATTTTTTGAAGGGAAATGGGAAACTATAATTGTTTTACTGACAAAGAAAAGAAAAAAATATTTTACATGAAAGAAAAACAGTATTCAGTAAAGTGCTAGCTAGAAAAAACTTAAAAAAAAAATCTTAATACAGGTGCTATATACAGTTCAATGATTAAAATGTCATATCTATAGCTTTACCTTTTAGTATTCCACTGTTATAGCTATTCTAACAATCCTCACTCGCTGTGATATGAACCTGTTTTAATCTATAAGAGACTGGCTTCAATATTACTGTTTTTGCAAGGGATATATACGTATAATAGCCGCGCCTCCAACGTCAATCACACAAAATGTCCTGATTACACAGGCGTCTATTCATTGGATCAAATTTTGATCGCTGACAAAAACACTGTTAAGTATATTTATATAACAAAGTATTGAACAAGTGCTTGGTGTAAACCATCTCAGTCTTGGTTCGACCGATTTGTTTGCTTTTCTTTGCAGACCTCATTTTCAAATCAATATAACAAAAACCTTGTCAAACATTTCCCTTATTGCAAGGCAAGACATGTCAATCTTTAGAATTAAACCAGCGTTATGGCTAGTGCAATATCATAAATTTAGACTAACAAACAATAAAGATTTAGTGATAATGTAAATCTAAAAATTTGAAATACAATTGAAACTTTCGYTTTCGATCATCTTCTAGGGAAATGAAGCAAAGGAAAAGAAGACGTGCTTTAAATGGTATGAAAAAATTATTTGTCGACAAAAGATAACATAATGCTTTACGATCTAAACGCTACCATGAGTCTTTGCGCACGTTGATCTCGAATAAGTGACGTCAACAATCAATTAGCGTGACGTCATCAGTAGTATTCCGTCTTGGAGTACAGCTCGAAGGGCTTCTTTGAAGCTCTTCAAAAAGTTACCAAAAAATGTCAAACATGAAAGTATTCACAGTCGTTTCTATAATTTCAATGCTTATTYTTGTCATTCCTGCGTCGAGTGACAGTCTTCAAACCAAACCACAAGGTAAACCGTTGTAACAGTCTTGCTTTCTTGCAAAACGACAAGAAACATTGCAAAAGCAAAACTACCATAGTAAAATTACTAGTAAACCAGCATTTGTTTTTGTGAGATCATTATGAATGAAGGTAATCATCAAGATAAACAAAATATCAACAATCAATTCCATCTAAAGGGCTTGTGAAATCGGTTTTCCAATTTACATTCAATTATGATTTCGTCGAGTTTTGCGAACTTCCTCAGTTTCGATTATACGAAAAAAATACATAAAAATGAATCTTTACACTCGAAAAATACAATAAAAATCAAGTTGTTTTATGATCTTTGCGTTTTCTGTAAGAAAAAATATMATATTTAAAGAATTTTCTAGTTTTAACAAATCATGCTTCAGGATGCATTGTGATGTTCGAGCWCGAGACTTTTGCGCGCGCTTGTTAGTGACCTTGCGCGCGCTTTCGCCAAAAACACAAAATATTCAATGTTCAGATAAAAAACACTAATAATGATATAACTTCTTCAATTCTCAACCACAAATATTTCCAATTTTTACAGAAATATTTCAGAAAAAGACAGAGTTTCCCGTGAGCCAACCGCAGTCGTTGAGAAACTACATCTTACGTCCAGTCGAATTAACCGTCAAGACAGTTTCTGCGTTGACTTCAATTCCTCAACAAAGAATTGTCTGCTTGACCCTTGCTGTTACAAGTTACAAATTCCTGCTTCCACATGAACTGACAGCCAAGGAACAAGTGATTACAATAGTGTTTTGGGTGCTGGTAGACTCTCTAGAACCGCCTATAGTGGCTGAATACATAGGAGAGGTCAAAGACTTTGGAGACATGATGKGTAGAGTTGCATTCCTACCTGTCAGGTTACTTGGTGGTCTCGTGTCGGCTTTAATGGATTGCTTTCCTTTGTCTAGAGCTGGTAGGCTGTTATCATGGACAGGCGACTGTGCCATTCCAGTTTTCAACTGGTTCATTGACTTGGCACGACCGTTTTTTGTTCAAGACAAGCTTCTRTACAAACACAAAGGTAACATTTATTACCATCTAGTAAATATGATGAAAATATAAATCACTTAACTCACATCTCCATACTAGGTAATACGCCTGAGATGGTGCGCTCAGTCCACTTACCATGGTCAACTGCCAGTGACACTTTCCATGGAATCCATAACGCAACTCTGCAGAACTCATCACAGTCCACCCTCACGCCAGTCAAGGCAACAATCAACGCGTATATCTACCGTCCACTCGAGCTAACCGTCAAGACAGTTTCTGCGCTGACWCAGATTCCTCAACAACGCGTAATTTGTTTGACTCTTGCTGTGACAAGCTAYAAATTCCTGCTTCCACAAAAACTGACAGCCAAGGAACAAGCGATCACAACAGTGTTTTGGGTGCTGGTTGACTCTCTAGAGGCTCCCATAGTAGCTGAATACACAGGAGAAGTCAAAGAGCTTGGATACATGATGGGTAGAGTTGCTTTCCTTCCTACGAGAATACTCAGTGGCGTCGTTTCATTGACAGGTAGATGTACATGGGATGCGCTGTCATGTCTTGTCCRACCGGTGTACGACGCAATGGCCTATTGCTTAATACAGTCGCTCAACTTGGTGATTTCTGTTCACAACTTGTGCTGGCCAGTAATTTCCAGGTGTTACAACTACTTGGTTTTCCCTCTGTTTGTCCAGGAAGAGCGTCAGTCAAGTTTTTCATATTATGTGTTGTATGCCATGAATACCATCCTACATGCTGCTTTCTTGCCGTGCAAGGTGCTTATTCTGGAACCAGTATATACCCTGATCTACTACAGCTCAACAGACATGTCACTCAACTATATAATTGAATCTTGGATCAACAGTAGTAAAAACATGGCGTGGTACATCGTTGTTTATCACTGGCAACTCACRTCAATTGTCTGTCTGTTTTGCTTATGGATATGGAGCATTATCAACAAGATTTTGAACGGTAAGTTATGAAAGCCTGTTTGACAGACTAAAAACATGTTTTTCATACTGCACCGCATCGCAAAAAAACTCAATTTCTCAAAATAACCGCAGAGAATAGTTTGTAAAACTCTTTTTAAGTGCTTGGACTAATTACATTTCTGTTTCAACAGAAAAAGAGAGGAAAGAGAAACCAGCGATTCTGAGAAAACCAGGATCGAAAAGAAGCTACACTAAAAAACGAAATTCCGGTCATTTCAAACTGTTTGTAATATTTAGTCTGATTAGTGTCAATGCATATCTTCATTGGCAATAAAAAAATTGTTACTAACATGTGAGTTTGTGTTGCTTGAAGTAAACTTRCGAAATACTAGACATACTGTGTAGTACTTTTACACAAAACAAAGCAATGACGAAACTCTGGATTTGGTATATTTCACAATGTACAAATTTACCATTTTCACAACATGAAACACTTGAATACGGTTGGTATATTAATACACTTTATATAAAGGCGACAAGGACATATAGCACACATGTATTTATTAAATTGGACAGTCATATACTACAATACTTCTATCATCAGACACAGAGACTATCTTTGAACCAGTTGCATTGTATTTCACACCCCAAACCTAAACACAGAGAAACTATGTAAACCAAAATGGAGTAAACACAAAGCAGTTCTTCAGAGATTTAAAAGTGCTGTGTTTTGAARTATTTATAGACAAATTTATGGCAAACGGCGTAATAAGGGAAAAGTTTGAGAGTGGTACGAAAATGTTTACAGCTTTACCTGGTCRCCATGCTCATAGAAAGTATGAACCGTTTGTCTTGTCCCCGCATCCCAGACTTTCACTGTTTTATCGCTTGAACTGAAAACGTGAAAATGAAGAAACAGTTAGTATTGGGATCCCTGTGCTCCTTACCATGATGCACTGGGTACTTCATGTTTACCTGGAAACAAAATGCTTGTTGTCTGGACAGAAAGCTACATCAAGAACCCAAGAACTATGTCCAGAAAGTGTACCAGCTAGATTGGCATGTTGTCTACAGAACTGTTAAGGTCAAGCTTATCAGATAACACCATATTTTTGCCTGTATGAAATGCTTGTAGATGTATTAGTGCCTGAAATAGTTAGTGCAATATTTAGCAAACATTCAAGCATTTCTTCTCAATCAACAACATCATAAGAAAGAAAACTTAAGACAATACACAAAAAAAGACTTCAATTAAAGACTTTTAGAGCTTCATCTAGAGGCTTGCTGCTTGCTATAATCATTGCTATAATATATCTAACAGCAATTTGAAAATGAACACACACATGCAAAGGATACACATCATACATCTTTATGTGTCCATCATCAGAAGCAGTGATGAGTAACTGTGAGTCCGGTGAGAATGTAAGAGATCTTATCGGCATTGCATGTCCTGAAAGTACACAATAAATGTCAACAAAAACCAGCTCAAGTAGTTTTTCATAAACTGATAAAGATTCTGCCATAAAGGAGGTGCTTCTTTAGGAAATCCATAGTTCTGCTAACCTTCTAATGTGTGCAGTAGTTTGGCTGTAGTAAGATCAAATATGTTGATGATTCCATCAATGGCTCCACAGGCAATATAATTACCATCTGGACTCTAAAAACAAACACTGCTTTAGATACACTTGATGTCATGTACTAAAATACAACAAGCCTTCCTTCCAATGGTCTCATTTATCTCTCCCATTTCACCATTTTCTGCAATTCACCATTTTCTGGTCAAAACATACTGTRCATATCTTTACAGTTAAAGCATAGTTAACTACACGTGTATGGTTAAAAATTGAAGGCACAAAATTTCATAGCCATTCAAAATGGCCATGGCAACTTGCTTTCACCAAATTGAAGAAATACAATGAATGCACCCAATATCACCCAAAGCAGTCATACATGTAATTACAAAGCCCATGTCTGATAGKAACATAACCAATGCAACATGCAACATGTTCTTATTATATACTTACATATGCAATACTCATTGTAAACTTYCCTCTAGTATCTAAGGAACTTTCTTTAGTACCACTTTCTAGACCAATAAGGTTTATTTGACCTGAATGACTTCCAGTTGCAATGAATTTGGAGTCTGGTGAAAATGCTACTGTCCAGGTATCCACTAAAAATAATAAAAAACAAATAAAYSTGTTACTATTAAAATKATTTTTATAAATTYTAACACAMYAATWGCTTACCTGGACCACAATCTACAGTTTTTAGCTGTTTTCCTGACTCTAAGTCCCAAACCCTAACATAGCTATCAAGAGAGCTAGATGCAGCAACTGTATGTAATTAAGGGTTGATCATTCAATTTGCTTTTAATTTATTGTCTTTCTTGAGACACAATTTTGGTCAATGATAAACCACAGTTAGTGTAGTGCAACCTTTTTAAGTGTCCATACTTGTCAGAGGAATGGATTGTTTCAAACAATATCATGATATTTAAGTGTTTATGTGGTAGTGAAATGGATACGTGTTCCTGCAGAGTTGATGTCTACTGATACAACACCTAACTGGTGGCCTTCAAAGTTAAACTTGGGCTCTAATTTATCTTCATGCCTGGAAAGCAATGAATTCCTTATAAGTTTCATAATCTCATTCAATTAGTTTTTAGGGTAGTGTTCTCACAAACATTCAAAAAATTGTAGTCATGCTTTTGTGAATTTGCTCTAAAGATAGTAGTGTTTTCATATAAAATTTGATGTCACTAACTCAGATATAAACAAAGCCTGTATTATAGCAATGTGATATATTGGGACTATGTTTTCCAGAMATTTAAGGATGTAGAAAGATGTCCATTGGGTGATGCATACCATCGCCAGCATTTCACCAAGTCATCGACTGCCCCAGTAAGCACATTCTCTGCCCCRTCATTTTCATTGGTTCGCCATGCAACTGTCCAAATGCTGTCTTCATGAGCTGAACCAAGGTAATAGGCATAACCTAAGTTAGTTTTATTTTTATCTTATACTTTTCAAATCATCATCTCAACATTGTCAACAACATAATTTATTTTGATCTGTTAGAAAATACTGTGAGACTGACCTTTTTCTTGCTTATAAGATACAGAATACTGGAATAAAAAACAATATGAACTWTTATTTTTCAATTTAGATTAGTGAAGTTAAACAGGAATGAAGTGTTATGCTGGTTAGTTCAGAAGAATACTCATTTATGCTGCAAATTCTTTTTGACAAGTATGTACGTTAACATAACAAYAACTCAAATATTGTCAAATCATTGTTTTCTCACCATTCTTGAAAGGACTTCTACATTCCCTTGGGGTAAAACTTTAAATAGAACGAGTTAGGTRTAAGTTAATTTGCCATGTTTTTTGAATCCTTCATGGATTGCAGGCTCATAATAGTCAGCAGTACTTTGCTCCCCGTGGGGGGAGGGAATGCGATTGAAATACATCACCAGACACAGCAATAGAAGGACATATTTTACTAGCAGTACACATGGTAAAAATCTTTCCCTCAAAGTAAGTTGCACATACAAATATGAACAAATCTTGTTTTATGCCGTTGCARCATTGTTAAGATAACCCTCCCTCCCCACTAGTTTTATAATTACCCATAGTTCACAGCCTAGAATATATTATGGTCTAAGCCTCGTTGACCGGTGAAGGAAACAAAATGGCGTCYATGACAAGGACTTTGGCTGTTTTTGGTCGTTCGGCCACGAGATTCCGCTGTGTTAGACAATCTATGCTACGTGGAGGTTWCGAAGAGGGCCCAGGAACGGTGAGAGAAACTTCTAGTTATTTGTTTTGGTAGAAAATGGATGTTATTTCACAAAACGTATGGAGTTGATCGACAAGGGATTGGACTGCTACTATAACTTAAGTACAAAACTCCTCTCTCGAAATACAATTTATCATTTTACTGTGTGCATATATGCGCCGTGCAATATAAATTATTGTGCAGTGTTTTAAGTTAGGGRAATGCTAGATAGAGCATAATTAACTTGAGCTTAGATCAGTTATTATTCAACTTAAGCTTAATTATATATAAGCTTAAATTTCGATAAAACGTAAGTTTAAGATAAGCTTAAACTTAATATGTTATCCATTTGTGTAAGATCATACGAAAAACGCTTATTTATTTTATGTGTGGGTTTGCACCTTCACATTGTATTTCCCTTGGTCCTTTCAAAATGTGTATTTTGAGCATCAGTGCTGGAGCAAATGTATACATATTGGCACTACAAAAAATTGATGTTGCTGATGATGAACGCATAAATAATTGTATCTTCTCTTTGATGTCTAGAATATGCCATTTCAAACCAAGAACAAGACAAGATTACTGATTGTAATGTGCTCATATCTTGGAACGTGCTTCACTCTACCATTTGTTGCTGTTAGATTCCAAATGGCAAAGCAAGCTGGTGATTGATCCAAGAAAAGCTTCAAGAATTTAGACTGTTTCTTAAAAATGCTGTGATCTGTTGGTGTTTTGAGTGTGAATTTGAACTTTTGAAAACTATGTACATGACATTATTTGTGATAAAAATATTAAGTGTCATTATTAAACAATTTCTTYAATTGTAAAATACATGTAGTGTTGTTTAGTTTATTTTTTTTACAGCTTTTACAACATTAATGCTCAACATTTAATTGTGCAAGAATGGATAGAATTAGCTGCTCTATCTGTGGATTTCATATTATGGATAAGGATTTACCCTGAAAATAGTGTCATGCTCCCTACAACCGTTCCTTGCTCATACTAGTGAACAACACAGTACAATGTACACATTGTTTTCATTRCTTTTTTATTTCCATTTAACCCAACATCAAGTTAATGATATGTGCAACCATTATTGATAATCAAGATATTTCTTGTTTTCCAGTAAGCAGTACCATTATATATACAAAATGCACATAATMCCCAAAAAAATATAACATACAAAATCACCATGTCCCTATTTGATGTGCAAATATTTTTGTGAGAAATTCTATTCAAATAAAACTATTCCTTTTCATCTAGTATAACTTTTTTTGTACAAACGCAATATGATAACAATAGCAGCTGTATTATTAATGCTATATTATCAATAACTTAATCTTTTTCGAGCCACTTATTTGTCTTAACCTATTTAATTATKTAGTAAAAAGTAGACTTAGTGGTTTACGTGGCTTAAAAAATCCATTTCACAATATAAATAATTGATAATTATTATTTGATTAATCTTTGTGTTTCATTGTCAGGCGAGTCTATAGACTTRTCATGTGTTCTGTCAAGTATTTCATCCTCACTCTCTGATAAAGTAGGTAGACCCATTCCAGTGGGAATTCTTGAAACCTGAAAGCAAAACACTGTATTTTAGCAGGTTCAGTTTACTATCAAATTAACAGCTAATTACAAAAATGTTATCCTTATTATGAACTTGGTAAAAATYTCAATTGTGTATTTCAATGAATTCCTAAATAGCAAAATGTTATTTTTCTTGAACAATGTTTTTTAATTAGGAGTATATGCTACTGAGATGAGATAAAGCGACAGAAAATAATTGACATTTGAAATAAGAAAAGTAGTGATATTGAATGWTAACTTTACTTTACAGTATATTTGACAACCCAGTGTGTTCCCTGATGGGAACTGCTCACAAGACTGAAACATCTCAACAGTAAGCACGACCYCAACAAAAACAGACTTTGATACAGTGTACTATAAAATCTGCAAGGAAATGTGACTGCAGTCATGTTTTCTGTSAGTATMAGGACAATATTGAAATAATCAAATAATACTGGATTGTTAAGTACTGTTGATAAAGCCATGTTATCAAAAGAAAATCAGAGTTAGAGAAATTGCTCTGTCAATGAATGTCCATCTTTGCACACATCAAAATAAATCTTTGTATCAAATATTCCAGGAACATCATTTTGTACACCAAGTTTCCAATCACAATAACAGAACAATTTCTACAAAAGCAAAGAATGAAAATGAAGAAAGATTACTAACAGGAGAAGAAGAGCCTTTGAGTTAGACAGATGAAGGAGGTTGAGTTTCGTTCAAGTTTCTCATAGCAAGGTGAACATGTTCTGAAGTGAGTACCATTTTTCCAGTCCATAATTTACGGAACTCTTTCCTGACTAGTGCGATAACTATACCAGTTATTAAAATACAAGGAACCAAGTACAGCAAKGCAGGTTGACCTTTCTTCATTATGAACAAGGCTATGAATGTAAGGATAAGACCAACACCATATGCTGGAACACAGATAATAATAGTCAATATTATAAATCTAATAAAAGAGGAGATAAACATGCAATAAACACATACATAATAATAATTCAATAATTTAAACTAACAATATATTTTACACAAATAAGTTGTAGGTGTCGGACACTGTATTTGTTGCCACAGGAAGCCCAATGAGCAGTGTAAATAGCCTAAATATAGCCTGTGTACATCCGTTTCCCACCCCTCCCCCGAGAAAYGTATGTACACTAGCTACCTAAATATGAAATCAAGCACACTTACCGATTGATGTGGCAACAAAATAAATCTTTTTAGGAGTATTTTGCATGATATCAAATGAGTGGCAAAATCCAATAAATAATCCTGAAAATTGTCAAAAACACTGGGTGTTAAATGTAATTAACAATAATAATTAAAAAAAACAAAAACAAAGTTTATATCAAAAACGCAATAAATTCAGGTTATTAATCAAAGTATATCAAATGAGAATCGACAGTTTAGACACCTGGGACAAGTATATCACCAAACCCAAGAAGGGAATAAGGTCTCAAACACACAGATGATGGTGATTTAGCGATTTTTGGTATTTTCAACACCATTGGCAACTGTTCTTTATGATTTCCACCTAAAAGAGATAACATCATTTTATGACTTAATCTTTCCATAAGAAAATGTAACCACAAATGCTTTTATAATCAGTGCATCTTGGTGGATCAACCAAATAGAGCGGATTTCGTATGAGTGGGAAACGGACGGTACTATACTGTGACCATAATCGTACTGTAACCAAATTCTAGTGCCCCATTGCTTCACCAAAATTGTGAAGGCCAGGTCCGGTAACTGTCCGGTAACCGTGCGGTAACGGTGTCCCACTCATACGAAATCCGCTCTAATCAACACAGCACTTACCAGTAGCAACTTCAACCATGACACTCTTWCCACTTGCTGAAAACAAGGGAGTGATGAAGACAAAGAAAATGTCATAAATAAGAAGTAGGATCAGAAGAATCATGCAGACTTTCAGGTTTGGCAGGCGGATGTTCTTCAGAAGACTTATGCAGAATGCAATTCCAAGAATATCTTGCAAAATCCAGGCATAGCTGAAGAGGAGAACAATTAAAATAATTCGAAGTGTCTTACATGTAAGTAAATTACTGTAAGCAAACTGATTGGTACATGTTTACCTTGCATTTCTCTCAATCCCCCACCATACTGCRAAGGCCACACARAAGATGGCAAGCAAAATAATCCTTATCTGAGGTTCATTCTTGAATACTGGCAATCTGTTAGGTGGTACTTTACAGCTGCCTATACATGTAGTGAATTCAAGGTAAATATGTTGTATACAAAGCTTGTAAACTAAATCAAATTTTTGGACAGTCATCAGTAATCATATGTATATAAGTACTTACCTAATGGTAACCATAATACAACAGGTGTCAGACACTCAAACAGTCCATTGCATGATGCAAATACAAACAGCACAATAACAACATAAACCAAGACACTGTAGAAGAAGAATAGTAGCAGAAGAAGACCACAGATAAGCACAACAAAAATGACAATCATCACTGGTGTCACTACTAGTGATGACTGTTCTTCTTCTTGATTGCCATCTTGTTCAGTACCATGTTGACGAAGAATATGTCTTGAGCTGAAATAGATTGAAGGTAGATTCATTAAAAAGGAATCTTAAAATATTATTCACCTACTTTTAAGAAATTATGACTTTATCATATCTTAACTCAACCCTTCCCTTAACCAGATTAAAAAGGAGAAAGAGATAATTACGAATCAAAATATAAGCTTATTTGTTGTTTTAAAAGGTATAAGTGAGCTCGCTAAAGACCTTATTGTTTGATGCCATTTTCATCATACACATGTAATGTATCATAACATTAATATGATTACTATCATTTAATAATATTATCTATTGTTTATCGMGTACTATTATTTCTATTATTATCACTGTTAGTAGTATCAGACACTTACACAATATTAGAGTTAGCAATTCCCGTCCAGTAGGCCCCTACAACAACTGTTCCCACAGCAAGTATCCATAGTACAAATATGTTACCATCAAGAAGTTTTTCTTCAGGTTGATACATCTGAACTACAATGTGTTTTCCAAGATCCTGGGGTAGAAACAGTGTCAGTTAGCAACAATATCAACATTTCTATTTMTATTTTCCAATGAATTTTTTAAGTAGATGATTGCTTGTGAATATTTGATAAGAGTGTCAGTTAGATTATTATAATGGATTACTGTATACTGCAAACCTTTAGTGTTTTCCCATCTCCTTTTGTCATAACCATCACAGGGATGGCTAGATTCTCATAATCCCCTGCAGATTCATTGCCACTTGGCATAACCTGAAGATAAAATGAAAATACAAGTAAAAGGTATAAATACAATGAAGAGATGAACAGCTGTGTGTCAACCCTTACCAGGTGGTCCTCAGTGTTGATGATAATGACAGACTTTCCCCCAGCATCTTGTACTTTCATACCTTTCTCATAAAATGAACAATTACCACGGACTGCTGCTACAGCTTTGTCAAGATATTTGTCCTTGGTAAAAACACCATTGCATAGCAATGGTGGGTCGGCCCAYGCAAGAGGTAATTTTGTCTAAAAATAACAAATAGTTGTAGGATGAATAAATGTACAAAAGTTCTTTTGTTAATCTTGATCTTAAATGAAAAGCAGGATTTCATATTTCTTAAGATAAGAGTATGTAAGGCTTGCATAATCTTAATCAAAAGTAAATTTGTTTTGAAATGCAGTGGCATGCCATAGGAAACTCCTGCACAAGCSCCTGAAATGCATTGTTATTATCAGCTGTATGGTTTTATCTATGAAATACGAGAAAAAGGCATTCAAGGTGTTCAGTTATTAAAAGATCAAATATTTTTTTCTGATTCTCAGTAAAGCTTTAATTGCCCAAAGCCAATATCTTTCAAATGAAATGAACATTAGCGTGTACGCTCTAATGATTTGCCTCACCAGTAAAATATTTTCGATTAAACTGAGAACCAAAACAAACTTATACACTTGAATAGTTATAAACAAATTGTACCATATCTRAAATATAACTTACCGCCTTTTTAAGGTCAGTTTTCCAAATAGGACCCCATTTAGGATTAAAGCTCACGCAAAATTCATGGCTGTTTTCTCCGCCATCGGCAAACAAAATCCCCAAATTTTGCTGTCCATAACACTAAATTGACACCTTAGATTAGCCATTTTGATTCACAGAACAATAACAAAACAAATCAAGTACTTTCTCATAGCACAAACCTGTAAAATAGTTAGAAATATGAGGAATAAACAGAGGAAATGATTAGACATATTTTTTTTTGATTTCTCGGATGTAGAGGAATGGCACTAGCGGTACAATTTGGACRCAAAGTACTAAACCAGTCCACAATACCTAGCGACACCTGCAAATCAAATATGGCGGCAGCAGTAAGTACTGGAATTCGACATTGTTAATGTCAAACCGTTTATTGCTATATTTACGAAATGCTTTTATTTATAGTCTGATAGAAAGGAAAAGAAAAGTATATTTGATATTTCGAAGTACCTTGATAAAGGTGTTAGAGTAAAATTCCAAGGAGGAAGAGAAGGTAAGCTAGCAATCTACACGTGCGCATATTTCTTGACAAGACGCTGACTGTATGTTTTATGCTCTGCTCAATCCGGTAAAGAGCATCAATTAAAGTGAAGCATTCGAACGAASCAAATGTTGTCTTCTTGTAATTCAACGTATTTAGTATAATTTAAATTCTATTTTCACTTTCTTGTTGCAGCGAGTGGGATACTCAAGGGTTTTGATGCACTGTTAAACTTAGTACTAGACAACACTACAGAATACTTAAGAGGTACATATATTTATGRTACATTTAGATAGGATTTCCAGGGATGTCAACCCCCGAACTTTATAAAACTGGAGAAATTGCCACGATTATGTGTATGACGTCACACAATGCGAATGACGTCATTCATGATGTCACAAATGAGGTCATATTCTGTTTCAACCAATGGGATTAGCCATTGCATAATCAGTTTATACATTTTTCATGTGCRTACATAYGTAAGCAAGCCTGGTTACTCTAAAATCTACKCTAAATTATATTTTAATTATGTAGATCCAGATGACCCACTAAAAYTGACAGAAGAGACAAGACGTCTTGGTTTAGTTGTATGTAGAGGAACTGCTGTTGTCCTTGTTTGTCCTGTAGATGGAATGGAAGCTATTGCAAACCCTTTTATTCAAGCTGAATAGGATGWGATTCTTAGTCTTTTTTTCCTCAGTTTCACRTCATCACTGCCATGTTGGATGATGATAACAAAGCATTCCTTATTAGTTTCGCTTGTTCAGTCATCCAACATGGTGCCGATAGCTTTGGTATTCTCAATCATGTGGTTGAAACCTAAGAATAGTTGAAAATAAATAAATGATCTATCATTGATATCAGTCATATACTATGTACAACAACTATATCTTGCTCTTCTTTATTCAGTAAGGTAGTGTTGCCAATGCAATAAGTTAATGTCATACACGGTAAAAGGAGAAATAAATTACTTAGTTTTCTTTCCTTTTACAGTGTACAACAATTATTAATTTCTACACTAATATTTTGCCAGAAATATCTCTATGTGTTATTGGCTCATGATCTAAGGTGTACTATTTTTTCATTGTATATAAGTATAATGTAATACAATACCACTTAACAGTAAAGTAAGAGTGAGGGCAGTAGTGCAAGGCATATACTAAAACACTATAGTAGATGCTAAATCTTCTTCTAGTACACTTTGGATAATACATTATTTACAAATGTCCAAACTCTGGCATGCTACATCTACAAAGTCAGCTTTCTACATGTCTAGTTCTTGCTCTTGATAATGTTATCAACAAATTCATTCATTGAGAAACTCACAGATGATCGCAGAGCTAAACATTTGTCTAAAGGCATAAGCTATCTGTAAACTTACACATTTGTCACAAAACTATCATTAAAATAGATAAAAAGTTCAGAACCTCTCTCTAGAAATAGTTACTCAAATAACCATAGTTTATAATGAATAAAGTTACTTTTGTGCAACTTCCATGATTTGTCATGCTTTTCAATACATTTAACTGGAGATCATAGCTGTGCAAATGGCCCACATTTTTYATTCAAAACTAAAAGTTGTCACTCTTTCTTTTTTTAACTTCTCTTCTACTTCTACAAAATAACTTAACTGAAATKGGAGAAAAGTTATGCAAAACAGCTTTTGTACAACATCATTTCCCTTTGACATCATTAATGCATTGTCATTGTAAAATGTATTGAGTRTTTGWGTTTGGCTTAGAAGCCATTCAARCCACTCGGCCAAWGCTCCTTTATTCAGGCATTCACATACAAACAGCTCCAAACGAAGTCTGTCTTCATGAACTCCAAGTCTGTTGATTTTCTGTAACACTGTAGCACCTGGTGTAGCTGAACTTGTYACTGCATCTACAACTTCCCACAAAGTATGCTTTGCTATTCCAAACAAAGTTCTTCTAGTGCTAAGTCCRTGGCTAAGAATGGAATGTAAAGCTGAACAAAAATCTAAACACACAACCTTGCGTAGATCTGGGCTCTTGGTGTCATCCAAACCTTCAACTAAAGATGCCTGGAAAAATATCTTTTGAATGGCATTATCCAACATTGTCAACTCTGGACAGACAGATTGCTTGGACAACAAAAACATACCAAGATTCAATTCACCGTCATTGTTAATTAAAATGGAGTCATTATTTTCACTGTCATTAACATCTTGTTGAATCTTTTGGACAATCCATTCCCTTGTTGATGAATCAAAGCTARCTTTGATATCCAGTGGTAACAAGAAAACATCACAGTTGTCAACTTCATTGTCATTAAATGTCAACTCCTCTTCATTCTCAATCACCCAATGATTGTCTTTGTTTGTCAGATGTATTGATGACAAACAAAGGTTTTTTGGAGGATCACAGCTATTCACTTCTTCCTCACCTTTACTTAACCTTGCATATTGTTCAAGGATGGGTTTTAGTATACAAGGAGACTCCACTCTATAATAGCTGCARCAATGTCTGTTTGACTTCATGCAGGAATGATCTTTCTGCGATGACACTACTACGTGTTCACAGTCTGATGTACAACTAGTTATTTCGTTTGGATTTATTTCTGGATTATAATTCTGATCCATTTTCTCCAAAGAGTTGTCAAAAGGAGTACATGAGTTTGATGCAGGGTCATGTTCTGAAGAGGAAACTGACAAGCGTTTCAAGTTCAGTGATGATGGAAAGCTTTCTGAAGATGAGACATTTTCTGATGATACACTGATTTGTGATTCTCTTACAGGACATGATGGCACAGGATCTATGTTTTCTGATGTTGGAATATCCTCTGCAGTTCTTGATGCACATTGACATAAATGTTCATTAGTACAACAACATCTATCTCCTCCTCTTTCTTTATTTTCAATGTTTTGATTGCTTTGGGAAGTTGGCTTGTTAGAAGGCAATCTTTTTGGTGATTTTTTTCTGTGTCTTATTGCTCCTTTTCTGTGAATGTGAGCATCTGATTCGCTGATAGTACGTCTTTTAAAAAGATTAACTCCCTCCTGTTTAGTTTTATCTCCTTCAGAAGATCTTCTTTCTTTAACTATACAGTTGTCCTCATCTGACATGTAGTCAAAGGGGACAGGTTTTTGCTTGTCAGAAGAGGGTACTYTAGTAGGCACTTCATTAAAACAAGGTTTGAAATTCCAGGATTTTTCCTTTGACAAGATTGAATTACTGGGACTGCCAGTACTCCATTCAACAGGGAAGCCGGKTGCAGTGTTAACAGCCTGTGTCATCTTCAATGCTTTTTTCTTGAGTTGATTTTTTTCAATTTCTTTTATTGCTAATTTTTGCCTTATTTCTTCAAAYGTCTTTTTTGTCTGACATTAAAAATMAAARAAAACATGATTATCGGAAGTAGGAAATAGTGTGTGTAATATTATTAGTCTYCTACACAGCCTCCCCTTTTGTTGGGGAGGGACARGAAGCCCAACAAAAKGCTGCGAAGGAGACCAGTGTAATATGGCAAATCACCAACAATGCACACCTTGAGTTCTTGACACTTTTCAGCAGTTGCCTGAGGCTGAGGAATTATCAAAGCCCTGGATTTTAACAAGAGTTTATCTAAAAGGAGACAAAAAGATGAATGAAATCTTTAAACTKCTAACAGGACGACAATAGCAAGCTTGAGGGTAAATAATTTTGAAACATAAACCATGATTCAAGTCTGAATTTAKTAGTAATTTATATTATTTAACAAACCTCCTTTTCTGTCACGATATGACCATTCATTTCCTCTTCTCTCTACAAAAAATTTATAGAGACTTCTTACACTTGATATTGATTCATAAATGCCACAGAAAAAGACTTATCATGCATTATTCAATTACATTTTTATATCAGCATATTTGTGAAAAACAGTTAAACCATGCTTACCCCAAAAGTAGTCCATCAGTGGTTGCTCATCAGGAGAGAAAGGAAGTGTCACTATTACATGCAAACAAGGATTCATATCACCACACAATTTTATATGTCAGAAGTACAATCAACAAATAATAAATCATGCAATATACCTGAATTAGATGATGTTAACAAGTAAAGCTGAGCATTGATGCAATCAATGCTGGTGAGTTTTCTTGTAAACAGCTCAATTTCTGGCACCTAAATGAGCAACAGAAAGCATTAACAATCCACCTAAACAAGAGAAAAATGTGTCTGTTTTACCCAGATATTTGGGACCAATGGAAAGTGGGATAGCAGTTTGTTTTCTGTGTTGGTGATAATTATGACTTACCTCTTTGGACTTGATTGAGATATCAGCAGGTGAAACTAAAAATGTTGAGTCTTCAAAGTGTACAACAAGAAGCTAAAAATAAATGATGCTTTAGTACACTTTTGAGAGTGAGATTATTTTCTCTTTGTCTTCAGCTTTCTTCCACATTGCATCAATGAAATAATAAAACTATTGAAAGTCATTGTCTTTTCCCTAGTAAGAAATGTTTGCAATGTTTAAAACATATTTACCTTGTAGTTATGYTCTAATAAATATAGTTCCTTGTTTTGAAAATTTGTAAAATTTTCATTAACTTTGCAGGCTGCACCAACAAATAAGAAATATCATAATTAGTGCATTTTCATTCTACAAACAACACATACAAAAATGACATTAGAAATTTATTCTTACCTATGCCTTCACTATCAACTGACCATAATTCCATTGTACTACGACGTAGTTGGCAACTTTCACATTTTTCACAATAGTGACCAGGAAGCCACTTAAGAACTGCTGCCCACAGKTCCTGGAWATCAMCATCTGGCTTCATATATACAGTATACTTGGGACCATGTGACATGATGATTGACAAGCTAATGTCGCTAGGACTGAAGCAACAGAATTGATTAAACAGACATTCATGCTCATTGCAAAAAAAATGTTTACTTACTCAATTTCGTGCTGTTTTATTTCATTGGTGGAATCACTCTATCAGACAATGTTAAAAACTAGTTAAATAAGTCAGGTGTTTGTTAAGTGTCAGTAAGTGGTTGGTATGGTGTCAGTAAGTGTTTGCTAAGGTGCCAGTAAGTGGTTGCTAAGGTGCCAGTAAGTGGTTGCTAAGGCGTCAGTACGTGGTTGCTAAGGTGCCAGTAAGTTGTTGCTAAGGTGCCAGTAAGTGGTTGCTAAGGTGTCAGTACGTGGTTGGTAAGGTGCCAGTAAGTGGTTGGTAAGGTGTCAGTAAGTGGTTGGTAAGGTGTCAGTAAGTGGTTAGTAAGGTGTCACTAAGTGGTTGGTAAGGTGTCAGTAAGTGGTTGGTAAGGTGTCAGTAAGTGGTTAGTAAGGTGTCACTAAGTGGTTGGTAAGGTGTCAGTAAGTGGTTGGTAAGGTGTCAGTAAGTGNCATTACCTCTTCTTTCTTTAAAGATGGTCTGTTTGCATCATTGGTAGGCTTATTCTTTATGTTTTCTCTAGCTGAGTAATTTTCATAAAATAGTTTTGTGTGCTTCAAACAATCCACCCAGCACTTAACTTCCTCCTTTGACTACAAGAGAATCAAAAAAATTACAGCCATTTAATAAGAAAACATAGGTGCACCACACGACCAGTGTCAATTAACACACAGACCTTTGCTGAAAACACAACTTCATTCTGATTATGAAGTTCTAATTTGAAACAAAATTCTGTATTGGTCTTCTGTCCTCTTAGTGCTTGAACAGTTTCTGATATACTGCAAACCTATTAACATGAATAATAATCATTTAATCATTTATCCTCTAATGTTGCTAATGCTTTTATAGGCCTTGCAGCCTTCAACAAGCTAATTACCTTTTGCAAATCAACTTGAGCTTTGGGAGTCTGCTTCCTACTCGAATATGACTTTTCATTGTCAAAAAGTTGTAAAACATCWCCAAACAGCTGTAATTTAATCAAAAACAGCTAGATTTTATCCTTTTTGTCTGTTTGTTTAGTTCCAGCACTATTTCGTTAGCTATCACAGCTATGATATTATTTTGCATTCTATATATCTTCATCATCATCTCGTCAATAAACCATATAATCTAAAAATGATATAAACTTAATCCTAGCAATAATAATTGCGATACATAAGAAAAAACTTACTACACAGTAATACTTCCGGTAYCGAATTGCTGATGGAATATGCCATTCTTTGACTGATAGATAGCCTGCACTCTGCTTTGGTGGTTTATTCTATAACATATCATATAGCCAGTAGTCAAACATCCAAAGTAAATAAGAGGTAATGGTATACATAAACACCTTTAGTACCTTGCTTTGCAACGCTTCATTATACCCCGCCATATTTGTCCCTATAACTGAGCGGAAACTGGGTAGAGTTTTATGACGTCATTATTATAAGTCCGAAGCGAAAGTTATGCCCATAGCGTTCAGGCCCATAGGCTTATACGCTTTTACAAGCGTAAAAAGGTCCGGCATTTCTCTTTTTTTATTGTTTTATTTTAAAATTCTTTTGTTATGAACTGTTTGTGAGAATTCTGTTATGAAATGCTCATTTTAGCAGCCATTTCTTACACACTATACTGTACATTGAAGTAACTTAGTAAAAAACGAGTTCCCCCGCTCCCCCATTTGTAAGGCAACCTACGAGCCTGCACTAAATTGCCAATAAGCTCTGGATATTTTCTGGTTTAAAGGTCGCGAGAAGCGGATAGAGCTTCTGGGGATATGGGATGGTTGTCTACGCGACACCCCATAACTCCGTGACAATTTTTTTTCAACCTCTCTGGTGATAAGAGCAAAAAAAGCAGAGGGAGCGCGAAATAAATCAAAGTCAGTCAAATGGAGTTGAAAAACTCAACTTTATTCATATAATAAAAACAGAACTCTRTCCAGAGTCGCGTTACAGCTCATATTTGCATTATTTTTCAAAGTTATATATTATTTCTTCAATAAATCTTTTTTTAATTATTTTTCATATTTTATAAATCAAACACACCTTAATAGCTAATGAAGTAAAGAAAAAAAATAACAATTGAGAATCTAAAAGTAAAACATCGGTGCTTCTATCTCAAATGAGATCAATCATCAATCAATTATTAAAACAATATTTTTAACCTGAYGACGCTGAGCCTTCCCATTTTSAYTACTCATTCTATTTCCTCTAAGCTTCCATTCACAAACTGGAAATTCACTTTTCCTTTCTACTAAAACGCCGCACTCCACATTGAGAAGGTTCAAGCTTCAATTCAGCTCATAAATTAATTACAAATTGAATAAATTATGAAAAAGCTAAAATACATTCAAAGACAATAAATATCAAATGCTCGCACATTAAAACAACTGCCAACTATTCACACATTAATAGAAGAAAACCTAACAGCAACAAAATCAAAAAGCTATTTCTTGAACATAGAAAAGARCAGCTTTGTTCGAGTGACCTCTCATTAATATCGTCTACATATCTTTTATTCGTTCCTTTCTCTTTTCTTTTTTGCATGTGCGTAATACTGATCACGCAAAACTAAGCGAAGTCACGTGACAACTCGAAAATGAGCCGTTCAAGTCAATACAATAAATGAAGTATAAATGAGAGATCGATTTCTTTGCGGGCCGCTTACAGCCTGATAAATATATTAAAAACTACCTTGTCGTGGTCTTATTTAAAAAACACTTCAGACTTTTATTTACAGTTATTGAAAAACAAGTAAGACCAGCTCTGAATTGACGATAGGCTTCGACGCCTGTAATTGGAAAGATGACGTTAAAAAATTAGCACATTAAGACCACCTATTTCAGTACAATTATTTGAAAATATTCAGTACGAATATTCACTTGTTCGGGCCGGTGAAAGGCATTCTACTCAGAAATGGTCCAACRCTGCAAAAGTTGAGGTACATTAKMTGAACTGAGTGAATTACCGGCAACTGGATTACTGTACGGTTTGCAAACTAAACTAATTACACCACCAATAAATTGCGGGACAACTAATCCACTAACCACTCGAAAAATATTGGCAATTAGTTCTAAAATATCACACCTATACCCTGTGTTTCTTACGAATACCGAAGGGGGTYACCAATCAACATTAACTTGAACCGTTATCAAAATCTAATACAAAGCACCGACTTAACCATATCGTAGTCTCTTGCTCCATGTGGTATATACTGCTCTCTTGCTCATGCTCTTTAGAAGGGTGAGCTAGCAGTCTTACTAGTACGAGTYAGGGGTCGATGTTCGCGGTAACTTTCAATAGAATGATGCCACATCCAGCAGGAATGGCAGTAATACTTAAAGCACGTTTCTTCACGGCAGAAGAAAGGACCTTGTGTCGCACGACATGTTTCACASAGAGARTCTTCAAGGTACGGATCAACTTGAACCTGAAACGAAGATAACAGAGCTTGGTTCTGTAATATGTTTTTGGAAGTGGAATRASTGCATCTGGGAACACTWCAGCAACAGACGAGGGTCTATCTTTTGCAGGCGCGATGTCAGKTTTTTRGCATAAATACGCGCGGTAGAGCGATAGCGCGCATCTCGTACACATGCATCTTYGTTGGAGAATCTTACCTTTTTGGTAAATTTTGGAGTCTCTATTTCAATAAATCCGGACCTGACAGCCATCATAAAACTCTTGTGATTATCAAATGTCACCCTTCCAGAGCCTAAAACATTAATCTTAAAATTAGARCTACACCTTTGTACAGCTTTAGCGGACCAATACTTACCGATGGGATACCTGTGCTTATCTGTATCTATACCAGCATACACCACGCCGCCAAACAAATCATTCATTATGTATGCAAGTCCCTCTGAAATAGTTGACGGAAACCATCAGTAACACGTACATATACTCGTAATATACATGGCGTCGCAGTATAGAGCAATTTTGCTTGTTTTTCAAGCAGTATGCGCAATGTCATTTGMCTGTACTGGACCAAAATCTGATGTATCTCTTATAGAAATCATTACCTGCATTCAACATGCCATGAAGACCACCAACAAACACAGTCCAGCTCGTATCCAGTCTCTGRTGTGGACCACGGACATAATTAGTATCAGACAGGACCCATGGAATCACTTGAACCTTAACGACACACATTTTTTTATTGTATATATTAAATATTTCGAATTCTTTTTCACAAACGGTCCGAATTCTAGTTACCAACCTCTTTGAGCCGCATTCTTCGGCTGGATATCTTAAAGTACCAGTCTCCTCCATTTGTGAAGTCATGTGTGCAAGATGCGAGCAAAGCTTTAACGGATTTCTCAGAGTCAAATATCAGGTACACGTATCCTGCAAAGTGCAAAATKATGATCATGACATCATAAATCATTTCGACAAGCTCTCGTCAGTTTATTATGCAGGAGAACCRCGAGCCAATCGATGTCAAACCCTTTTAGCGATCTCTWTTACATACAAAACCATGTAAGACTTAATATATATTCTTTTATTAAGTAGCACCCCATGCTAGTATATAGGTTACCTTTTGGTGGATGGTGGAGATGTCGTCCATCAGCTTTCCCAGGCCATTCGATCTTTACGTTACCAAAAGTCTTGAAAGACAGCAACAACGAGGCTGTGTGCAAAACCAAAGTATTTAGTAGTAATTTTGCTTTTGAATTGASAAGACAAAAARCAAGCAACAAACGTRACAAAGATATTATATAACGTTCCATTCTGCCTATAACATGACATTAATTCTTCTGGTATCATTTTGCGTCACTAAAGTCCCTGCCTGTACACATCCCGAAACYATACAACCCAGTACCGAGTATTTCGTGTTAAAAAGCAATACCTTCTGTGATATCCCATGGYACACCACCTAGAAACACCTTGGATGAGTAGCTTGTGTTCTTGTAGCTTCTCCGTGGCAGTTGACCTGACCACTTCTTGATRTTCAATCTTAGAAAATCTAACGATAACAGTGATAAAAAAATAAATAAATTTCCTTTGCATGAGCTACTTCCTGCTATTGCCGTTTTGCTATATTCCTGTCGCTACTATTATGATGCGTCTTTGTATCGTTTTTTGAGGACGAAGAACAAGCTACTAACGCTAATAATAATCAGACTATAATCAACGCAACTAATTATCAATTATTAATATCATCATGTAATCTTAGTCCAAAATTGACATCATTGTTACCATCAACAATATATATAATCATTCTCAACACCATTAATACCCATCATCATCATAATCATCATYGTCATCATCACCATCATCATCATCATCATCATAATCATCATCTTCTTGAATACCTGGTGGTTGAAGCAGAGCTTGACGATTCAACCAATCTTGTCCAGATAAATCACCATAGAAACCTGACATCTGAGTGCTTCCCCACCGGGGATCTGTCAGTAGGTTTCGTCCAGTCACTACAACAACAGAACACAATGTTATGCTAGTTAGCTAATTAGTTATTCATTTGTGATGATCATTTTCATCATAGCA